AGACAGGATTGATATCAAATTGATGGGAGAATAGATTGGGAAATCAAAATAAGATGCCAACAAGCTAGTGCCCTTATTTATCAACTGACACCCTTATTAAGTCATTCAGACATAAGTATGAGCGTCAAGAAACAGATTTTAAACAGCATATTCATATGAACACTGTGCTACCAGTGCCAGACTTGGACACCTCTGAAATGAGATGCCTGAGAAAAGATGTAAACAACCATACAAGACAAAGTTAGAAATGATATTATCAGACAGGCTGTAGGAACAACACCATGCAGCAAATTTATTAAGAAACAGAAGATCAGATAGTTTGGTCATTTAATAAGAATGCAGCCAGAACAACTACCAACCCAGGCGCTACACATAAAAAGATCTGAAGTGAAAGCAAGAGGCCGCCCTAGGATAATATTGATTGATGACATTATAGAGCTTCTTCATCAACACAGAATGACAGTAACCAATGCTGCCCATCAAACATTGGATTGCAAATTATTCCTCCCCACAACGCTTAGCGGCAGAAGTGGAAATTGATGATGATGATGATGATAATGACATTACTTTGAGAGTCAGAATGCATCTGCCTGAGAGGCTAGGAACCAACAGGCTGCACACAGTTAATCTATATCTGTAAAATGGATGTTCATGCAAAGCTCAAGTCCTGTTATTGATTAGTGTAGTGACCTTTAACATTAGTATTTGTCAAAGTTGTCTAGTCTTGTAGCGTCATTTTGTGGGTAGGAATTATTCACGTAGATTCTGTTAAAGCACTTGTTCAAAACTGTAATGCATTAGTTGGGGCGTTAGTATCTGCTCGCACACATTGGGCCATTCACTCTGTGTCCACCTCAGAATCCTTGTGTTGGAGACAGTGGCTTTGGGACAGCGCTGTAAGAAATTATGCAGGTTCGAGCTTTGTGCTTATTTATGGGAATGGCTAGATGCTTGCCTGCTGGCCTAAAAGTCTTGAGTTTGAATCCACATTGAGTCAGATTTGAAAATAAAAAAATTACCTTGGCTCCAAGGACGACCCAGTTTCAAATGGGTTCCAGTGAAATTATGAGAAGCAATGGCGACTGGTGTTATGTTGACCACATCACCCACAGAGTAGCGACTGCTTTTAAAAAAAACTATGTCTAGCACAGCAGTTCCCAACCCTTTTTTTTTAAACTCACGATCCCATTTTATAGAGGCAAAGTGAGCCGCGACCCACATACATTAAAGATAGCATTTTTAAAATATGGGAAATTAAAACACATAGAAAATATATTTTCTATGCAGGACCTGATACAAATTTTGTTTTACCTTTTTCAAAGTATTCATTACTATTCACTGTCTGACAACCCCCACAGTAAACCCCTTTTGCGACCCCATTTAGGACCATGACCCATTGGTTGGTAACCTATGGTCTAGCATCATGTGCCCAATGAATTACCAGCTTGATAAGGTTCCTGTTTTTAATTATTTTTTTGAATTATTATTTCCTCAGGGAGTCGCTGTGGTGTAGCGGCTAGACCCTTGCTTGCGGATCAAAAAGTTGTAGGTTCACTTCCTGGAGTAGTCGGGCTTTAAAAAAAAAATGACCCTGACTCCCAGGTTGACCCAGCCTTGAATGGGTACCGGGTGCAGTCCTGGGAATTAAAGACGGCCGGTATGATGCTGACCATCACCCATCTTGTGCCGATTGGTCTATAAAAATATAGGTCTAGGCCTATGTGCCCTATACGCCTAAAGGCATGGAAAAGGTACCTTTACATTTACTTATTATTTCCTCAGAACTGCTGCCGCCCGAGTCTGATGCTGCAAGTACCTGCAACATGACACTGACAGAGGAGGGGATAATAGCGTCACCCGGGTTTCCTTCACGATATCAACCAGATACAGAATGTTTTTACAGCTTACAGGTACACTGGATTTGTGTATGTCCATGGTTAGCTACGCTCTCACCCCAGGCAGAAAAAAAGGGGGCCTCTAGGGATCTAATGATAGTTTTAACAGCATAATAATAGTAATAATAAAAATGTGCAGAGGGGAAAGTGAATACAATAATATAAATGAATATAAAATATATTTGAAATAGTATGAAATGTAATTTAAAAAAAAATACTTTTAAAAAGAATAATATATTTGAAATATTACTTTGTGGGAGACAGTGAAGTGCGGTGCAAAGCAAAGTTATTATTCCAGTGTTATTTCAGTTTTAAAATTTTTATGCCAGTGAAAGTTGGAGAACCACCATAAAGACATGGAATGAAAAATTTATGAACAATTAACAGGATGAATTTGAGACAGGAGAAGAAATAGGAGAAATGTCTGGACAACCACTTGTTTTATCAGTTATATGACAAAGGTTTTGAGGTTTTGAACAATGGATCACCATCATGGCACATCGATAGTAACCCATAATTGGTCCGATCTTCTTCTAACTCTAATCTGAGTCGAAGAAGCTAGGCACAGTGCACAGTCTCTGTAGCACCGGCAAGGATCCGGAAATTCTTTGGGTTGATTTTAAACTCCAAATTTTGCCTAGACAACACACCGTTAGACTACTGTTTTTAATTTCCAAGTGTGAAGGGATTTTTTTTACGTGCGCAACAATGCACACGGGCGCTTGATCTCACTACCCAGAGACCAGGAGGAATTAATAGAAGTACAGAGAGAATTACTAGAAGTCCAAGTCCACTTGAAAAAACCCCAACCCTTACCAGGGATTGAACCCGGAACCTCTAGCACTCGAGGTGGACACCATGCCTCGAAACCACACAACCCCCTTTATATGGCAAAATGATGGCAATATATTGGGTCCATCATTGAAGAGAATTGACAGAGAATCAGCAAACATACTGAAATGTGAGACGCGTGGACTGAAGTAATGAGGATACTGAAGAGAAACTCTCAAATGAACCTTGTTGAGAGATGCCAAGGCTGTATCCCATCTATGAAATTGAGAGGATTGTACAAGAATGAATGGAATGGTACCACAGGATGGTGATAAAGAAATGCATATATTTTCAAGTGAAATAATCCATGAAATTAAATGTCAGGTCTTGGTCATATATGACTGAGTTACCTTATAACAGTAGCGTTACCTTATAACAGTAGCGTTACCTTGTAACAGTAGCCGGTACCACCTGTCTTCTGTTAACTCCGAATGTTAGGCGGCATGTACCAAACCTGACATCCCATATTGTGCCATCAGCTTTAAAGGGAGGAGCGCATTGGGGAGAATACGAGCCTTATCCTAGGAAGAGGAAATGCTACCTGAAAACCTTTACCTAATGGCAGGGCAGACCAGGCCCTTGGCCTTGGCTAGCATCTAGTCTAGGGGGAAGCTCTGACAGGTGAACAGATAGAGCATTGCTCTTCTGATCCGGCAACTTCTGCAGCCTACTTTATTCCAAACGTACTGGTGTTACCTTTCCTTTCAGGCTAACAAGGCAGGACGAGAAGGGGTCATAATTCACGGGCAACATATGGTCTCTACAATACTGCCCAGGCTTTGTGCTATGGAGAGGACTCCCATGCTATAATTGTGGAAGAATTTTCTTAATGCAGGCAGGTCTTGCTAGTCACACTCGCCATGGGCTGTGAGTCTCATGCCTCCTCATAGCACAATATAACACTATTGTCTGGAAAGACGAAAAAGTGCCATCAATCCATAAAATTGTCAGAATTACTTTGTTTCAGATTCTCATAAAAGATACAACAGCTTAATCCATTTAACATTATCTGTACTTGGCGAAAGGTTATCAGCATATGTTTTGATCATATTGAGGTAGAAATCATTTTCCCATGAATTCGTTTTGGCACTTGAGTTTTTAACAGAATTCGTTTTGGCACTTGAGTTCTTAACAGTGCTAGGAGAAAATTTTTCAGCATATTTGTCTTGGAAACAAGATCATAATTAATACACTTAAAAGAAAAACAAATGTTGTCTGTGCTTCAGTTTGTTGCAAAGTGTGTCGCGTCTTGGCTTGTCACCTCAGGGCCGTGGCGTGCTGTGACACAGAGATGCATCAGGTAGCACTGTGAGGTTAACGGCATAAGCAGCAAAATCAAAATACAATTTGAACTTTTGATCTGACACCGCAAAGCTATTAAGGGCTGCATTTTGAAAACTTGCATCATACTGAGAAAATCTACGGTATGAGACTGTATTACTGCATACGATTTTCATAGCTAAGTTTACTAATTTGTGTTTATTTGTTTTAAATATTTTTATTTTTTAAATAAATCACTTAGTGAATGAGTTATAGTTGGTAGAATGTGTGGTGTTGGAAAACAAAGTACGAGAAAATATTTTTAGAGCAACAGCTGCCATTGAAAAAAGAGCTTATTGCTAAGCTTGAAAGCGGTATCCATAGATGTAAACTTTGAGTTTGTTGGACACTGGAGCAGATTAATTTAGTTTCCCTTATTTTCAATGGGAAAAATTCCTTGTAACTCGAACAATTTGGACTTTGATCATCGTCTTAGAGTTGAGTCAAGAATTGATAGCACTCAGGGCATTCCCATGTGTGCTCCGTCATCATCTTCAGCAGGGAAGCGCGAGAGTTCCAATACTGATGGTGCCAGTCACAATCTGGTTATATGTCCGTCTTGCTTTTCCTATGAGTGTTGTGAGCCGGCCAGACCCTCTGGTTACACCCAGGTGCCTCATGCTCTACAGGCTATAATAATCTTTTTTCTCTACTGATTACGTGGCTTGCTCCCAAAGGGTCCTGACCACATCTGCCTTGTCATGTATCAATTCACCACCTAGTGGTGCAGATCCACCCAATCTGTCTGCCTGTTTATTACCCACTACATCGGCATGGCCTGGAGAAAAGATCCAAAGTATGCTCACTACCCATGACTTTCCCAGTGAAGCTTGCCACTCTGCTCGAAGCATCCCTATCATCAACTTAAAATAGATTCTGAGGTGCCACTGTACCATTGAAACACTTTTCTACTAAACAAGATTTCACCATTGATTGTAATATCCCTTCATGCAGGCACCACGAGACCGCCGACTGATCTTAGAGTTCACAGACTTTCATGTAGAGACGTCACCATGTGACTTTGACCGGTTGGAGGTGTATGATGGAGTTCTTGTTGGTATGTGTGCTTAAAATTAATGCCTTAATTTTGTTTAAACTGTTTAAAAACAAAAACGCATAGTTATCTGAAAGCGCATTCTTATTAGTTGACAGGAAAACCCATAAGCCTAAAACCTGTCGATGACCCAGATGCAAAAGAACTGTCATTTGGCTAGTTGGACACTAAGATTTGCCCGTGTGAGTTCCGGGGCCCTGTTATAGGAAAAACAAGAATAGACCCACTGCCTACCCAAAAGCATGTCATAAGAGTCAACTAATTGGGAGCTTCCTTCAAAGTCAGTGCATCTGCCTGAGAAGCAAGGAACCAACAGTCTGCACACAAATTAGTCCGAGCTGTCAAATGAATGCACACGCAACACTCAAGTTCTGGAACAGGACTGCGGTTTACAGCCAGTGTACACGAAGAAGAAGAAGAAAAAAATATTATACATTATTGAATATTATAGTATTATCAGTCATGAAAAATAAAATTATTGACATTTCACCAAATTTAAACATTAAAAAAAAAAAACTTCATGCAGTATTTATTCTCCACAACTTTTCTTCTTCTTCATTTTCTTCATGTTCACCGGCTGTAAACCCTGGTGGAAAGTTCTGGTTGTTCATCCACTTCTGGACATAAGACTTGTCCAGAATATCTCAGTCTCTCTCCCTTTATCCCCAATACTGCCTAAACAGATTTATGATTCCACATCTTGGAATGGCATATCACCATGCGAAACAGGATTAATTATGTCCCTGGTTTATTCTCATTATCTTGATCTTTCATCTGTGGGGGTTTAGACCTTATTGTTTTATGCACGATATTAAAGACATGAAAATCTGCTACTATAACAGTGTATTTTTTTGAATAAATACTACTTTAAAAGTGAAAAAGTAAAGGACCCTTTTCCATGCCTTTTGGCGTATAGGGCATATAGGGCTAGACATGTATTTTTATAGACCAGTCGGCACAAGGTGGGTGATGTGGTCAGCATCACGCCTGCCCCCTTTACTTCCCGGGACTGCACCCGGTACCCTCTCTAGGCTGGGTCGACCTGGCAGCCAAGGTGATTTTTTAAAAATAGCCCGACTCCGCCAGAGAGTGAACCCACGACTTTCTGATCCGCGGTGAGCGTCTAGCTGCTCGGCCGTGGCGACTCCCAATACTACTTTTGCTTCTACTAATACTACTACATCTGCTACAGCCATTACTACTGCCAAAATTTAGTATTACTATTTTCACTACTAATTTGTTAAATTAACATTACTGAAATTGTCAGCACAGTTTTCAGATAGTTAAAGCATACTTATTTTTTCTTTTTCTTCACAACAGCAACAAACAGCCTACTGGCAGTATTCTGTGGCAGTGACCTTCCAGTGTCCTTGACATCCATTTCAAGCAACATGACCTTGAAGTTTATCTCTGATGCCAATCTGCAGAATCAAGGATTTAGAGCGGCTGTACGATTCTCACCTGGAGAAGGAGCGACAGAACCCACGACCACTTTAACATCAAAGACTGGCGCTACGACCTCAATGAAAACCTCAGTGACTACATCAACAGTTGTGACCTCCACGTCTGCTGCTACCGAATCGGAGTCCACCAGCCAAACTACAATTAAAGATTTAACCACCAAAATACCACAGCAAGGTATGTCTACCCTTTTAAAAATATTTATATTTGATAAATTTGTGTCTGTCTGTTAAAGCTATGTCTGTCTGTTCATAGCTTGTGTGTACTGTACTGTTAAAGAAAAAAAATTATGTGCCATCTCCACATTGAAGATTGGCTACAGTGTACCATTGTTGTCTTTGAGAATATTTTGTGGTGAGGCTCCATTCTTTTCCTCAGTGCAACTTTCATACTTTTCTTTTTCTTTTTCTCTGCTCCTGTAGCGGCTTGCAGTATCAGGTCAGAAAGAGATATCTGGAACGGGCCCTTTCGTTCGCTTCGTGTATAATACTTTTAGATATTTCTCCAGTCCATATTCTGCGGGGTCGACCTCTGGATCGGTTACTGCTGTATGTGTATAAAATGGCTATCTGTGGTGCCTTGGCTGTTTCCAGCATCGTTACATGGCCAAACCGTTTGATCTGTTGTCTACTGATAAGCTTTAGTATTGGTTCAGTGCCGACTCTCTCCCTGATATCATCATTCCTAATTCGATCTTTCCTTGTTACACCTGGCTTGATACATAAATATTTCATTTCTGTCATGACTATTTTTATTCCGTTTTCTGAAAACTCTTGTACAGTAATCCAAAATCTACAATAACGGTTTTATAGGTTATGTTAGTACAATTGACAACATCTTAGGCACTTCCATGCTTGCTGAGTCCTCCGGGGCAACAGAATCCCAAGGTACCTTTCCTGACTGCTCCCATTTATAAGAAAAATTAAGGACCCTTTTCACGCCAGTGGCGCTTCTGGCAGGACGCTAGGCTCATATGTTTAAATACCAGTCGGCACTTTTTGGGTGTTGTGGTCAGAATCATGTCAGCCGCCTTTACTTCCCATGACTTCAGAAATGAGGCCTCAGAACTTGCACAGAGCTTTTATTTCATTAAAATTAACCAGTGTTGTTTTTCAGTATTCGCAGGTTGCAACAGGACGATCATGGACACCACCTCAAACATCAGCACTCCCAATTTTCCAGGGAAATACCCCTATGACATCATCTGTGTTACTAAGCTGAGAAGTGAGGTCAACAGTACTTTCCTGATCTCCTTTTCAAACTTCAGTGTAGAAGAAGATGAGAACTGTGGCTACGACTCTCTCAGCATTTATCAAGGTATTTGGTTACTTCCTAACTCTTTCATATCCAAGACGGCCCCAAAAGTGGCCGCGTTAGTGTAGTCGATAGGAGACTTGCTTTCAAATCCAGCTGCAACTCAACTCGCTGCAGCCCATAGCCAGTGTTCGAAACCCGGTGGTTCACGGTGTTCACCCTGTCTCTAGGTAATGGGTACCAGAGTTAATACTCTGGGGTAAATGTAGGAACGTTGCTGAAGCGGACAGTTTCTTATCAGCTGTCCGTACTGGTGGCAGAGCACTTATAGTTTATAACCGTGTACAGTGACGCTGGTTCACATCTCCTGACTTTACCTTTATCTTTTCATATCCAAGCCATGTGTGATATGTGAAGCAGGACTTTTCTTTCTGGCAGTATGCCCTGCTACTCAGCACTTACACCTTTTTAGGCATAATATTTTCATAGCAGCTGTAGTTGACACTTTGTGGTGAGTACCGGCCCTTTTTTGTGTTTTGTTTTTACATTTGATGCTGATACCAGCCGGTGCTTTATCCCCTAAACAGGGGAATCCACAGGTCACAGAACAGTCTAATATTTCAGTGGGTGGTAGATAGGCTACATGCAGTCGTGGGACCTAGGCTGCACTCTGTCGTGGGACCTAGGTGGGTTGGGGTTAGGGCCAGTTTTAGATGATTTGGGGTCGTTAAAAGCATCAGAAAGCCAGAAAACCCAGTCTCACCACTCTCTAAAATTTTGGACCGTCCTGTGACGTCATCTGGGGTAGGATATTAATAAAGAACCAACATTGCCTACTGGAGAATGGCCATTGGTAGTGAGGACTGGCACCCTTTTTTTTTTTTAGAAAAAGACCTGGTGTGAAGGACTTTTATGAGTGAGGCCCAACCTTTGCATATTGTGTTCTTTAACTTTACACATGGTCAAAGCATCATAGTAACATATGTTATGTACCAAGTAATTACTTTCACTGTGGATTTTAGATACTTTGAAATGTATAATTCTCGTTGGTCATCACAGGGGTATTTTACCTTTACGATGCCTGATGTGGACAAATTAAAAAATTCTGGTACCGAATATATATTGTTAAGCTACTGATTCTTAATTTTTTTACATCTTTCTGTTATAAATATTTCTTTAGAGCATTTAGTTTGCTAGAAAGATGCCTTTTTATTTATAAAGCTTATTTGTAATAATTCTTGGGGGAGGGCCCTTAAGGTGGGAGGGGCTTTAGCTCTTGTTTATGTGTGCAACAACAATAATAGTTGTATTATGTTAATGACTCTTTTCCAAAACCAAAGAGAAATGGATGGCTTCAGCTACATTTATCACAAAAGTTGTAATTTTAACATGTTGGCTAGCGTACATTCGCAGGGGGGTACAATCATGGCAGCCAGACAAAATTTAAGCAGATCACATAACATGCAATTGTGGTCATCAGTGAGTTAATGTCTACTGTTAAGAAAGTGGTGGCAAGTTACTGAGTGTAAAATTGCCTAATAAAACCACAAACAGTCAACAGATTGTGAGAGCAGGGGCATTTTAACAGCATTATGGGAACCTGGGCATACCATTGTGCTGGGGCCCCTACTATAATCATTCATATGAATAAAATGTAAGTGGTCGATGATATTAAACATAGATCTTTTTAAATTGGCACTTCAACATAACTGGTTATTTTTCTGTCATTGCAGGAAGTCTCATACTTTTCATTAAGAGCCATGTAGTGTTTAAGATACTTATATATAGAGAGAAGGGGAAATCTGAATTCTGTTTTACTTTACATAGAATTATTTTACTAAGTAAGTAAACTGCCCTTTTCCACGCCTTTAGGCATATAGGGCATATATGGCTGACCTATATTTTTTAGACCAGTTGGCACAAGATGGGTTATTTGGTCAGCATCAAGCCGGCCGCCTTTACTTCCCGGGACTGCACCCGGTACCCACTCAAGGCTCGGTCAACCTGGTAGCCAAGGTCATTTTAAAAAAAAAGTGGCTCCACCAGGAAGCGGAATTATTTTAGATGTCAAATATATTTTTTTATTTATAGCAAATCAGTTTATATATACAGATTAGCATATGGCCCCTATGCCTGTGGGGACCCCGAGTAAGTGCCAGATGTGCCCATTGCTTAAGACGACCCTGGGTAGGAGTTGGTTTGTGATGTCCTTTACAAAATATGCAAATAACTTTTATTTTCTCTGTCTGCAAGTGCATCCAGGTAACATTCAAACCTCAGACAATGGAAGAGTATTCTTACGGCGCTTGTGTGGAATCCATCTAGAGAATCCAGTTTTAAGCTTTGAAGGTTACGGTCTGGATTTAGTGTTCAAGTCTGACAAGTCTTTAAGTAGCACTGGCTATTGGGCTCAGGTGCTTATTGCCCCTTTGTTTCAAGGTAAATATGTGCACAGGTCACTCTCACTGAATGTCAGAGAGTTATGAAATGGGATTTGAACCTGTTCTGATGTATGGATTGAGAGATGGTGCTGAATTATGATGGCGATCTTGTTTGAATATATGGGAAGTGAGGTACTATGTGATGGTGAACTTGTTCTGATGTATGGGTAGAGTTGTTGTTGTTGTTGTTATCGATCCAGCGGCGCATGAGCTTTCGCCCTTTGGCCCAATGCCATGTAGTGGAATTTGCATGTTTTCACAAGCTGTTCTTTTCCTCCGTACAAGGTGTTCCACTTGTCTGGTCTCGGAGGGAGTAGCGTTCTTCTTGTCTCACTGAGTTTTGGGCACTCAAAGAGATGGTGTTCAACAGTTTCGTAGGGGTAGTTACATAGCTGGCACTCTGGGGAGTGTTGTGGCTGTATTCTGTTTAGGTGTCCATTGAGTGGAGTATGTTGCGTTCTAAGTCTGAAGATGGTGGCCTGGTCCCTTCTTGTTAGATGGTTAATGCTGTCATTAGGATCAGGGCCAGACATATGTCTATAAACCTCTCTTCCAGTGTCTCCCATGGCCCATCTGTTCAACCAAGTCTCTTTGTTTATAGCTCTTATCAGTGTTTTTGCTGTCTGGAGGGTTGTCGCTGTAGGTGGTTGTTCTTGTGTTGCTCCTTTCTTTGCCAATCTGTCAGCTCTGTCATTACCTGGTGTGCCGGAGTGACCTGGAATCCACTGCATCACTATTCTGATGTTGTATGAGGTAATAAGCTGATCGGCATCCAGGATTATCTTGGCTATGTCAGTTCTGCAGCGTTCATTGCCCTCCAGAGCTTGAAGGGCAGACATTGAATCTGTGAAGATGACAATATTTTGGACCTTTGAGGGGTAAACATCCATTACAGTCTTTAGGTGGTATACTGCTGTTTCCAGTGCAATTATTTCAGCTTCATAGTTTGAACAGAATTCCCCGCATGCATCAAAAATCTCTTCAACAGATCCATCGGGATAACCTATGTAGATTCCGTAACCTGCTTTAATGGTAGCTTTAAATGCTGATCCATCAGTATAGACATGTATCCATTCTTGGGGGTAAGAATCAACGGTCTTTAGTGATGAGTTCATAAGAGCGATTGGGTCGGACTGTTTGGTTTCCTCGCCTACCAATTTAGTTTGGACTTCTGGAGCTTTAAAGCGAGCATGTGGTGGTAGGTTTTTTGCAACATTCTGAATTCCTTGACGTCTTTCTGGGAGGTGGTATCTGTCCTGAATTTCATTAACACAGTGTAAAACCGATTTGTGCTTTATTCTTTGTTTGGATTCCCAGTTTTCTACAAGATGTCTATTAGGATGGTTACGATTTTTCCTAACGCATCTTTCATAAATTTCTAAAGTAGCTTTTTCTCTCCGCAACCCGAGGGGTTCCACATTTGTATGGATTTCACATGCAGCAGTTGGTGTAGACTGCATAGCTCCGCAGATTAATCGGAGGGCATTATTTTGTACTCTGTCAAGAGTCTCTAGGTTAGTTTTGGAACAAGTTGTAAGCAGTGAGTTGTTGTACTCTATCACAGAGCGAACATATCCTAGGTATAAGCCCCTCAGAGTTTCCTTGTCTGATCCCCATGATGTACCTGCAAGTCTCTTTAATAACTGTAACCGCCTCAATGCCTTATTCCTGATGTTTTCAATATGGTTCTTGAGGCTGAGCTGCGGGTCAAGTGTGACTCCAAGGTATGTGGGATGCTCTTCTTTCATCACTTGGTGTTTGTCTAACCTCAGGTTAATATTCTTCCTTGCTACTTGGTGGCTTTTGGTAAAGATTGTGTAGACCGTCTTTGCACAGTTAATCTTGAGTTTCCATCTTTGGCAGTAATCATGCAGTCTTCTAAGGTCTCCATTCAGTCTTTGGGCTCCACTTTCCACATTTTCATGACTCTGCCATATTGCTAGGTCATCAGCGTACAAGGCTTTTTCGGCCTTGATTTGTTCTGGCAGGTCATTGATAAAGATTAGGAATAGTGTACAGCTCAATGATGAGCCTTGTGGCAAGCCCTCCTCCAAGACTTCTTTAGAAGAGATTGCGTTGTGCATCTTAGTCTGGATTGTTCTATCTATCAGGAAGTATTTCACCCAGTTATACAATCTGCCATGTATTCCTATGCTCATCATCTTCATCAGGAGACCTTTTCTCCATACTCTGTCATAGGCCTGCTGGAGGTCGACAAAGACTGCCACTGTGTGTTTCTTATTCTGGAAGCCATCATGTATTCTTTGTGTCAGTCTGAACAGCTGGTCTTCTGTGCAGCTGTTGGTTCTGAAGCCTGCCTGTTCATGGCATAGAACACCAGAACTCTCAAGGAACCAATATAAGCGCCTGTTTATCATTCTTTCTGCAACTTTGCCCAAGCATGATGTTAAGGATATCGGGCGGTAGCTTTTGGGGTCATCTGGAGGCTTTTTGGTTTTAAGGATGGGGACGATATATGCATTCCTCCATGCCCTTGGAAGTTTGCTTGACCTCCAAGTTTTATTAATAAGCCTGAGAACTACTTCTCTCCCCAGACCGGCCAAGATGTAGCAGCATTTCGTTGTGGATCTTATCTGGGCCTGGAGATTTTCTAGGTTTTAATTTCTTCAGGGCTTGCTCTAATTCATCCATGCTAAATTCATTTTCAAAAAGGGAGTCGCTGGCTGTTGGAGCTCTCTCTTGTTTCTTCAACTGAGAGAGCTGTGTTCTATTGAGTTCTGACAGCTTACCTGCTCTGTTAACTGAGGCAAAATAATGATTGAAATGTTCTGCTTTCTTCTTGTCTTCAGTGATTGTCTTACTCCCATCTGTCACTGGTTTTGGGTTCACCCTTCTACTTTCTCCGGAGAGGTTTTTAACTAAAGTCCATGCTTTATTTCCATTCTGTCTAAGGTCTAAGTTGGAGCAAGTTTCTGTCCATTTATCTCTTTTAGCCTTATTAACTACAAGCTTTACTCTGGCACATGCTTTATTGTATTGGATCTTTGCTTCTGTTGAACGTGCAGTTTCGAGAAATATTCTTGCTTTATTCCTTTCAGATATAGTATTTTGAATTTCTTGATTCCAAAAAGGTTTATATGCCTTCCGGCTGCCCCTTGGGATGGCTTTCGACGCTGCATTCAGGATTGCTTGTGTTATGTCTTCACAAAAAGTTTCCACACAGCTGTTGTCAATTCTTCCCAGGAGGCAGTCAGATGTTTCCTGAAATAGTTTCCAGTTTGCTTTTCGGAAATTCCAACGGGTTCTCTGCTTGAAGCGTAATTTAGGGGTGGTGCTTACAGTTGTGAGTATAGGTTTGTGGTCACTTCCTATGTCGTCCAGGACTTGGGGATAGCTTGCGTCTGCTAAGTCGGATGAGCAGATGGTCAGGTCTGGTCTGCTGAGAGATAGGTGGGCCTGTGTAACAGTGTAGGTGTAGACTCTGTGTCCTGCAGCACTAATAGGTTAGTTGTTTCACAAGTATCTTCGATGTACTTCCCTGTGCTATTGTAGTCAGGGTAACCCCAACGTGGCGAGTGTCCGTTGAAGTCACCAACAAGAAGGGTTTTATGGTACTGTGTCTTGTATAGTTCTGGTATGTTGCATGTTGTCTGAGGTGGGCTGTACACGTTGTATATCGTGTATTTGCTTCCATTGTGCCAGATAGTTATTTTTTTGCACATCTGTAGGGTGAGATGTCGACAGCATTGTTACATCTCCTTGTATGTCATTTCTGATATAGGTCACTATGCCCCGGCAGTCATTGCACTTACAGGCATAACTAGTATATCCAGTGAGATGCAGATCAGAGTCTTTATGCAGGGTTTCTTGTAGGGCAGCCACGTGTACCCTGTGGTTGTTTAGCAGTTTGGCAAGTTCAAGTTTCTTATTTCTTATTCCACAGATGTTCAGCTGCAGAATATTGAGCATCTGTGTATTTTTTTGCTGTGCTGTCTGAGTTCTTTTTGCTCTCCCTCCCACTCTTCCTCCTCCTGGGGTGTCTGTTTTCCCTATTTATTTCAAATTTTCCAGTAGCCAATGTATGGGTAGAGAGATAGTACTGACATGTTATGTTAAGTTATCAAATGTGTGAGTAGAGAGATAGTACTGACATGTTATGTTAAGTTAAACCTGTTCTGGTATATGGGTAGAGAGATAGTAATCAAATGTTATGTTAGGTTGAACCTGTTCAAATGTGTGAGTAGAGAGATAGTAATCAAATGTTATGTCACGTTGAACCTTTCTGATGTATTTGGTCAGAGATAGTACTGACATGTTATGTTTAGTTATCAAATGTGTGAGTAGAGAGATAGTACTGACATGTTATGTTAAGTTAAACCTGTTCTGATATATGGGTAGAGAGATAGTAATCAAATGTTATGTTAGGTTGAACCTGTTCTAATATGTGGGTAGAGAGATAGTAATCAAATGTCAAGTCAGGTTGAACCTGTTCTGATTTAAGGGTAGAGAGATAGAACTGAAATGTTATGTTAGGTTGAACCTGTTCTGATTTAAGGGTGGAGAGATAGGACTGAAATGTTATGTTACCTCAGACCTATTTTGATGAAAGGTCAGAGAGACACTCCTGAAATGTTATGTTGAATCTGTTCTGATATATGGGTTGAGAAATAGTACTGACGTGTTATGTTACGTTAGACCTATTTTGAGGAATGATCAAAGAGACGGTCCTGAAATGTTATGTTGAACCTGATCTGATGTATGAATATAAAGATAGTACTGAAATTATGTTATATTGAACCTCTTCTGATGCATAGGTAGAGAGATAGTACTATGATGTTGAACTTTTCTACTGTATAGAAGTGAACCATCGGAATGTAAACAATAAGTTAGGAAGAGCTAAGAGAAAGCAGAAGTATGGTTTCTTAATCAAATGTTGTGAAAACACATTCAGTTATTCACAGTTCCATCTTCATGTCAGACGGGCCACCCCATAATTGCTGTGTTTCTGTGTCAGAAGAAACAGCACAGAATTCCAACTGCTGCCCCTAGTATAGAAATTAAAATGACTGCAGTCTCAGCAAAGCTAATAGCATATACACACTCTGAATGCATAAAAAGTAAACATCCCTTTTTACCCCTTAGGCACATTGGGCATAAGGAAAGAGCACCCATATTTTTACAGACCATTTGGCACTAGGTGGGTAATGTGGTCAGCATTACGCTGGCTGTCTTTACTTTCCCAGTACATACATCCTGGTACACATTTAAGGCTAGGTCGACCTGCGATGCCCCATATCATGATAAAAATCCACGAAGCCAGCAGTGGGTTTTGATCACAACACGTTGGAATTACAAGTCAGACTCGCAGCACTTGAGCCATGGATGCCACTTAGAATGCATACAGCAGCCTTTAGAAGTACCAGCATGAACAGTCCACAACCAGAATTGTATATTATTCCCGATAGAAGCGGCAGCTGTAGAAAAAAATATCAACAGTTGCACACACAGTTACTCGCATAATGCACAACCAGTTCTGTGGCAACAGGCCAGTCAGTGGTTTCTGAATCTTTAGTTCATGACACAGGCCACCTTGGGCACAGTCAAATAAGCATTCTGAATAAAACCCACAGCTCACAGTGTCGTATTATACAATCACCTCAGTTGCTGAGCAAAGGAACTGTATACTTTTGGTCCACAAGTAAGGGAAAATGCAACAGCTTACTGCGGCCAGAAGAAAATGATTTACTAGGACTAAAACATTTGGCCTGCCTATCCATCATATTAGACGGGAGCCCACAGCCATAGTCACTAACAGTGATTGCCTGATGAAAACCAATGAAAGTTGTTAGTAACTACAAAACAAAACAAAAATCAGACTTCTTTAATCATATCTATCAAAAGAAAAGAACCATCAGAAAATGTTATCTGCTGTAGTATAGAGAATACAAAAACACCTTCTGTTTGACTTACAAACCTATGCGGCTTAAACCATCTGCAGTTACAATCACACACACACAAACAAAATAGTTAATAAAGGAAGATAACTGCATTGGTAGAGTCAAACAGTTCCAGAAATTAACGCCTAGAGTACTTTATGTACAATTATTATACACTTGAATTTGTGTGTTTTGTGTACAATTTGTATAATCTAATTGAATGAAAGTTGTGTTTAAAAAAAAATGTGTGTCTTACAAACATGTTATTCAGAACGGAGCTCAGTTGTAAGTCAAGCCGACCCTGTATATACATTGTCCATGTGTGGGCTTCTGGGCCAGAAAAAAAAAAGAATAGACACACTGCCCTGTAACAAGCATGTCGTAAAAGATGTATGGGGCGGAAAGGCATAGATAATGCAGCCTACCTGAAAACTACATCATACCGTGTCAGCCGCCCTTTTAAGGGCAAGTGCAAAAGAAGAAGAAGAACTATAATTTTTTTAGTCAAGAATCAGGGTTCTAACTTTACTGTAGATAGGTCACCCCATAACTGCTCTCTTGTGCAGGTAAAAATCACACGAAATCTCCTCCTCTGTCCCATTTGAAAATTAGTGATAAACGTATCAGTCCCAGCAAAACTGAAGCTTGCACAAGCAAAGTAAATGCAAAAGGCAGCCCCCACTAACAAAGAACTGTATAGATTCCATGAGAAAAAAGACCAGCAGAACTTTTAACTTCAGGCATATAAGGCTAGACCTATATTTTTATAGACCAATCAGCACAAGATGGGTGATGTGGTCAGCATCATGCCGGCTGCCTTTACTTCAAGGGACTGCACACAGTACCCACTCAAGGATAGGTCAACCTGGGAGCCAAGGTCATTTAAAAAAAAAAAAGTCTGGCTCCGCCAGGGAGCAAACCCACCACCTTCTGATCCGCAGGCAAGTATCTAGCAACTACACCACGGCAACTCCCCAGCAGGACTTTACAGTATTCAATTTACAAATCCATGTTTAATTTCATTCAGTTTTCAATCCAATTTTCACTGTAGGTCCCAGTTGCCCTGCGGTTTGTGAAAATGGAGGAACTTGTACTGAGACTCTGTTGCCTGATGGAGCCATTGACTGGATGTAAGATGTGGATTGTTTACTGAGGGTTATCAATGAGTTGTTGTGTCTGTCTCTACAGACTTTAAAATTATTTTTATCACAGTCGTCATCACAACGACTGACTGACAGACAGACATCATCATCAGAGTCATCATGATCATAATCCACACTGGCACTATCACTGACACCATTGCTAAGATCATCACTGACATCGTCATTGACATGAACACTGACATCGTCATTGACATGTACACTGACATCTTCAATGACACTGTTGCTAATATCATCACTAACATCATCACTGACACTGATATCATTGCTGAGATCATCACTGACATCATCATTGACATCATCACGGACATCATCAGTGACACCATGGCTATTATTATCATCCTTGATAACACTGATAATATTGCTAACATCATCACTGCACCTTTGATGACACCATCACTGACACCATCACTATCACTGACACCATAAAGAACACCAACATCAACACTGACACAATAAATGACACCATCACTGACATCATCACTGACACCATCATCATCCTCACCTTCATTATTGATGTCATGTATTTATTTTGTCTGAACCATTCTGTATTAACTTCTATGTATTGCCCTGTGTTTTGATTATGTAAAAATTAGCAACTTTTTCTAACTTTGTTAGTCAACAGATCATCCTAATTACACATAAACCATTCAGTCCATAAGTGCTTGGATCCCCTCCTCAGTAAATTTGTAATGGCATCTGTCAGTCCCTGGGGACCACATAGTTGCTGTTCTTTGAATCTGATCATGGTTGCAGATCTACAGTCATCCATTGGTTCTTGCAGACGTCTTGTGTCTCGTAGAGCATTGGCTGTTTTGGTCTGGTCCGTTGCTCGTTTGTCCTCCACAGAGGCTTTACCTGCAAGCCTATCAGCTTGTTTTTTTTTTCTTTTACCCTGTTGAAATTTGTTAAGTCAGTCAAGTTTCCTATGTGGGTTCCTGGGCCCCATTGTTGGGGGGGGGGGGGGGGGGGAGAATAGACCCACCACTACCTCCCAACAAGCATGTTGTAAGAATCGACTAACTGATGGCTTCCTTCACAGTCAGAGAGCATCTGCCTGCGAGGCAAGGAAACAGCAATTTGCATACAGATAAGTCAAATCTGTAAAACATAGGTGCACACAACCCTCAGGATCTGGAGTAAGACTAAAGTCCAGAGATGGTAAAACATATGTGCACACAACCCTCAGGATCTGGAACAAGACCAAAGTCCAGAGATGGTAAAACATATGTGCACACAACCCTCAGGATCTGGAGTAAGACTGAAGTCCAGAGATGGTAAAACATGTGTGCACACAACCCTCAGGATCATGAACAAGACTAAAGTCCAGAGATGGTAAAACATGTGTACACAACCCTCAGGATCTGGAACAAGACTAATGTCCAGAGATGGACAACACAACCAGAACTTTCCACTGGAGTTTACAGCCAGTGAATGCGAAGAAAATGTCAGTAGAGTGCCTTCAACAATTTAGGTTGGCTGTATGATCTGTAACGTTAACTTTGTGTTACTGTAAAAAAATGTGTTTCGTGATTTTTATTCTTTGTAAAACCCTAGCTTGTTGACACGTTGTATTACCATAAATTGTGGTGCACAAGGCAACCGGGTTTACAAGTCTGTCTGGTGTACGAGTCACCCTTAAGATTTTTAGTTCGGAATACCTATTAGGCCAGTACCAACCTAATGTATTTTATACGCACCTGTTAGGTCGACCCCTAGTCTTGGAAATATTTTTAAGGCTTGAAAACTCGACTTTAGTACGATCACCAGAATACTTCTTGAGTATGAAAGTACATGAGCTGGAGAGCCGGCGAGAGACTGAGTTTCTTTCATGCAGAATGTGATGAAAATTACCTGCTACATGATAATGTTGATGACTTGTTCACCAAGTCAATGTGTACATGACAGTTTACAGTAATTTAATATTTCAGCTTGTCTTTTTCAAGGAACAAAAATTGTGAAACACAATGAAACAAATATTTGAAGTCTCTTAAATGAACATAAAAACACTCTTTTTCTTCTTCTTCTTCTACTTCTTCTTCTTCTTCTTCTTCTTCTTCTTCTTCTTCTTCTTCTTCTTCTTCTCTAGTCCTGTTCTGCATCAGATTTTAAAGATGGGTGCCAGCCTTGGTATGTGCTACGTCGATGCTGTTGTTTACAGCCTCGGATATTCATGGCTTGTCTGTTTGACCTCTATATCAGCTACCATTATATGTTTAAGTGACAAGTCTCTCTTGTTACACAATATGGTGGTCGTTTTGACACTAACCATTGCCATTACTTCATGTATTTACCACTTTCGCCGAAGAGGCAGTGTGCTCTTTGAGCTAATTTACTAATCGCTTCAAATGTCCCTCATTAAATCTTAGCCGGGTAGATCTATTGGTTAGCTTGGTAAATTCACCTGTGCATTACTGGGGCCTGTGAGGAAGGCAAAGATGTTTAGTGTCCTAAAATAACTATTTGATGTTAAAACAATAAGGGCTACTTCAACCCCAATAGAAAAAACACACAGAATCACACCATTCATGAACAAGTCTCGCTCCCAAAATTTTTCCCAGGGATCCATATTGGGGAGGGGGAGGGGAGAATAGACTCCTCCCACCCGACTAGCATAGTGACTGATTAGAGGTGTTTCCTTTAAAGTCAGAGGGTATCTGCCTGGGAGGTAAGGAACCAACAGTCTGTATACAAATAGGTCAGATCTGTAAAATGGATATGCATGCAAAACTCAAGTTCGCTTTTTACATCACACCATACTGGATCAGTCCATACACCATACAACATGATGTACATCACAACATTTATATAACCAAAGTCCAGAAGTGGATGAACAACCATAACTTTCTGCCAGAGTTTAAAGCTATTGAATGCTAAGAAGAAGGTGAAGAAGTCTTAACAAGTTATTGACAGAAGTTGCTTGAGGGTATATGCTCCACTGAGAAGCAAATAGAAAAGAAGAAGCAGAAGACAAAGAAGAAGATGTATTGAGTGGGTATTATTCTCTGTTGTTATGAATTGTCCATAATATTATTTGTACATCTGCAGATGTGTTTGTGCCGAGCGCTTCACTGGCACTTTGTGTGAGACGCAAGCTCGTGAAACATGCTCTGACATCAGGTGTGAGAATCGCGGCATCTGCCGAGACGACGGTGCAGATGTCTCCTGTATGTGCTCAAGCGGTTACTCTGGGCGCTTCTGTGAACAAAGAGAAACGGTTGGTTGTTAGTGATTTCTCTAAAACAGCCCCCCCCCCCCCCCCCCCCCCCCCACATCCTGCACCAGCTTTAAAAAATCCTAGTAAAATACAGGCAGTAACCTCCCTCGAAGTCGGAGTACATCTGCCCGCGAGGCAGGGAACAGCAAAAGGGTTGTACACGCAAAACTCAGGTCCAGGTAAAAGCCAAAAGTCCAAGCTGACGACTAACCAGGACCTTCCGCCGGAATTCACAGGCGGTGAACGAAGAAGAAGAAGAAACAGGCAATAACAACTGAAATAGTTCCCCGTGTGGGTTCCAGGGCCCTAATAGAGGAAAAACAAGAAAAGACCCCACTGCCTACCGAAAAGCATATCGTATGAGTTGACTAATTGCCAGCTTTCTTCGAAGTCGGAGTGCATCTGCCTGAGAGGTGAGGAACCAACAGGCTGCATACAAATGTTTCAGATCTGTCAAACGGTTGCACAGGCAACACCCAGGTTATGAAAGAGGACTGCAGTCCAGAAGTGGACGAACAACCAGAACTTTCCGCCTGAGTTTACAGCCAGTAAATAGGAAGAAGAAGAAGAGCTGAAATAGTTAACTCTGATGATTTGGTCTTCTGCTTGAACTCTGAAAAGGCTTGCATCTAATTCATCTATGGTAGTGAGGTTGTCTTAAAAGATATATAAACCCTATCTTGATATACGGAAGTGAATCATGAAAAGTTGGTAAATTGATGAAAACCTATTTGGAAGCTGCAGAGATGTGGTTTTATAGATGAATGATGAGAATACCCTGGACAGATAAAAAGAGTAATGAAGATGTCTTGAAACTGACTCACGAAGAGGTCTGACTACCCACATCAGAAAGAGACAATCTACATTCTTTGGTCATGTGATGAGAAGGAGAAAACTGGAGTACATCGTGACGGTAGGAAAGTTAGAGTGGAGAAGAGGCAGAGGGAGACTGAGAGAAAAGATGCTGGACAGTTTGACATCATGATATGGAGGATCATCTGTGTCAGAGTTTATTGAAAGTACGCGAGGCAGAAGGTTGGTGTACAATACTGGTCCTGTTTTCAATTCTCATTTTCATGTGAATGTCTAGTGTAGTTAGTATCAAATCTGTCTTACAATTGAAAGATGCTGTGTTAATAATTATGAAAGCACCCATGATTGTGACCACCAAGTGCCGATTGGTGTATAAAATATTTTTCTAGCCCATTAAGCCTGAAAGTGTGGAAAAGGATCCTTTAAAAAAAAAGTTTTTTATTTTTGTTTTTATATACATTAGGACTTTTAGATGACATACATTGGAACATGAGTTTGTCATTTAGTAGGGCCTTCACTTTTGTTCCAAATGAGTTTTCCCACATACGTTATCACCCATGCACAGTGGCAAGGCTGATGCATACTAGATGTTTTCTGGGCACTGCATCTCAGGTGCCCCCAACTCCAAGATCCCCTGCCAGCTTAGTTAAGGCAGATATAAGCCATTATCCATAGCGCACGACGGGGACGTGTGGCAGGAGTCTTGCATGAGGATCTGTAAAACAAGCACAGAGCCTGCTGCCACCCAGAGTGAGGTACAGAGTATCTCCTTGTGCACATGACAGTGGTATTAACTTTCCCTCACACCTGTGACTGAAATCCCTGTGCCACACCAAGCAATATCATACCATACAGAACTATGTCACACTATATCAAACCTTCTTATATGATGGAAAGTCAATAAGTCATAAATGGTTGTTTAAAAAAAAAAATACAGATGATAACAACTTGAAAACCATTTATTTTTACACGTGCACTGTCCCTCTTTTTTTCAATGCTATTTCCACCAACATTATTGCACTTGTCTCCTCATTTTTTTATCAGTCCTCCAAAACCTGCTTCATAGAACTGCATGCTCTGTTTTCTCAACCACATTTTCACTTCGCATTCAACTTCTGCGTCATTCACAAAACGTCTCCCGCCAGGGTGGGTTTTCAGTAGACTAAAAGGGTGGAAATCGCTAGGAGCTAAGTCGGGGCCAATGCGCATGCAACATCTGGCGCCACCTAATGAAAGGAGACATAAAGTCAGATGTTGCTGACACCTAATGACACCTTTAGAAACCACCAGCTAATGTTCCTGCCATCCCATATTGACTTCCCCTCGTACAATACAATATCATGTACATCACACCACACTTTACCAAGCCATCCAATACAATACAATGCCACACCATAATCATTCTATACCATGTGCTGAAATTCTCCTTGATCTTCAATGTCCAGTATTCTTCTTGATTTCTGCAATGAAGCTGGAGCATTTACAGTAATATCCATGTGCAATAACAGTAATCTTCACCAAAACGAACCTACACATGACCATAATATACCATGTTAACACCACTGGCTATTGATTTAAGAACTGACATCAGCACACCGAGCACACCCAAAGAGCTCAGTCTCCTGCAGCAAATATTTTTAAGGTGTAGGTGCTGATTTTTTTTGTTTAGAACCACACCAGTTGTACATACCTCAAACACTACCCTGAATGTCTTTTTGTGCTGGATCCACATTTAACTTCAAATTCACACATCCATACGCATGTTATTTCATCTGACATTGTGTCGTCCATTAGCATTAATTCACATTTAGTCATCAGAATGCCAGCTTTATTTGTTTTGTGTGCCCCTACTGCTACCTCCTTTTGTAGCCAAAATATTCACTCGTTCATTGCTGCGCACTCGTGCATATCCCAGAAGCCACTCAGTATACCATGTCATTGATGCTACATTATTCTAAAATCGGTCTTAGTGTTAGTCCTAGCCGATGTTTCAACTTCACTGCAATCAGGTTTCCCCAAAGTTGCTCCATTCCTGTGCAGTCCAAATCGAATGAAATGTCCCTCACTGTTTTACATTGCAAGAGAAGCTCTGGGGAACCTGTGGCGACTTTAAATGTATAATCCTATTTGTGACCCAGACGGGACTTAATGTGACTGATGTAGAACGAAGAAGAAGAAGAAGTCCCTCACTGTGGCATTTTGGAAAACTGGTGAACAAACAATTTTAAAACCAATCAACAGGTAACAGAAGGAGGCTCCTTGTATTTCACCAAGATGATGGGTAACCTGTCGGTGAGTGTGGGCAGTAGTATCATCCTGGAGTGTGCTGTCAACGATCCCACAGCCCACGTCATGTGGTCAGTTGCTCAGTGTCTTTGAGAGTGTGCTCTTGTCGTCTTTCTTTCTTTCTTTTTCTTTCTTTCTTTTGTTCTTTCTGTCTGTCTTTTTTTTCGTACTTTTTCTTTCCGTCTTTCGTTCTCTTTATTCCTTTTTTTTCATCCTCTCTTTTTTCTTTCTTTCTTTTTTTCTTTTTTTTTTTTTCTTTCTTTCTATCTTTTAATTTTATGTTTTCTTTCCGTCTTTCGTTCTCTTTATTCCTTTTTTTCTTTCTTTCTGTATTTTTCTTTCTTTCTTTCTTTTGTTCTTTCTGTCTGTCTTACTTTTTCTTACTTTTTCTTTGTCTTTCTTTTATCCTTTCTTTTTTCTTTCTTTCTTTCTTTTTTCTTTCTTTCTTTTTCTTTTTTCTTTCTTTTGTTCTTTCTGTCTGTCTTTCTTTTTTCTTTTTTTTGTTTCTTTCTGTCTTTCGTTCTCTTTATTCCTTTTTTTCTTTCTTTCTTTATTTTTCTTTCTTTCTTTCTTTTGTTCTTTCTGTCTGTCTTTCTTTTTCTTACTTTTTCTTTGTATTTCTTTCATCCTCTCTTTTTTCTTTCTTTCTTTCTTTTTTTTCTTTCTTTCTTTCTTTTTTTCTTTCTTTCTTTCTTTTTCTTTCTTTCTTTCATTCGTTCTTTCTGTCTGTCTTTCTTTTTCTTACTTTTTCTTTCTTGTCTTTCTTTCATCCTCTCTTTTTTCTTTCTTTATTTTTTTTTCTTTTTTTTCTTTATTTATGTCTATAGCCTACAAATCTGACAATCTGTATATTGGTCTGTATTTTTGTCAGCTGTCTTTTCTTTGTTTTTCTTACTTTTTCTTTCTTGTCTTTCTTTCATCCTCTCTTTTTCTTTCTTTCTTTTTTCTTTCTTTTTTTTTTTCTTTCTTTCTGTCTTTTCATTTTATTTTATCTTTCCGTTTTTCGTTCTCTTTATTCCTTTCTTTCTTTCTTTCTTTTTCTTTCTTTTGTTCTTTCTGTCTGTCTTTCTTTTTCTTACTTTTTCTTTCTTGTCTTTCTTTCATCCTCTCTTTTTTCTTTCTTTCTTTCTTTTTTTTCTTTCTTTCTTTCTTTTTCTTTCTTTCTTTCTTTTGTTTTTTCTGTCTGTCTTTCTTTTTCTTACTTTTTCTTTCTTGTCTTTCTTTCATCCTCTCTTTTTTCTTTCTTTTTTTTTTTCTTTCTTTATGTCTATAGCCTACAAATCTGACAATCTCTATATTGGTCTGTATTTTTTTCAGCTTCCTAAGCTTTATGTTTGCCTATTTTTTTATTTGTTCCTTCCTTCCTTCCTTCCTTCCTTCCTTCCTTCCTTCCTTCCTTCCTTTTTTCTTTCCTTTTTTTTTCTCTCAATTTTCTTTCTTTGTTTCTTTATTTATGTCCATAACCTACAAATCTGACTATCTATCTATCTATTTGCCTATCTTTTTGTCTGCTTCTCAATCTAGTTTCTTCTTCTTCTGCGTTCATCCGAAGATGTGATTGCGTTTTGTCCGTTTACAGCATGGCTGCGATACTTGCACCTTTCGGCCAACACATCCTACTTCTGCGGATATTTTTTGAACGGTGGTGGTGCCCCAATCAGGCTGGTCCAGAGAGGCCACATAATGCTGATCAGCCCTCAAGACAAGGCAGGGGCAGAACATGAGCATTCCCCACCATCCAAGGAGGCTTCCACGAATGCAGAGTTAATACACGGTGCTCTGGTACTGGGCTCACCCAAGGAATCGTCACGTCCAGCTCATGACTGTCGAACCTCACGTCCATATATTGAGCATCTCATACATCTCTTTTGTAGCCAACAGTATGCAGCCTGCAGACCTGGGATTTCATTTACCTACACCACAAAATGAGTACTTTGCTTCTTTTGCATAATCTACAGTTTGAAACCATTCTTCCTGTATCTTCTTTTGTAAAAATCAGCTTGTGCCGCTAGGCGTCGCAGTCTATCAGATGATCGGCAACCGAGCCAGGGCGCGCTCAGTCGCTTCATATGCTGTGATGTTATGAAGTCTCAAGTTGTCCTTGACTCCTTCAATCCATCTTCTTCTTGGTCTTCCCCTGCCTCTTGGTGTTTCGATTTTCATGTTGTATGCTCTTGATGCTGGTATCGTTGGTTCCATTCTCATTAAGTGACCAAACCATTTCATTCTTTGCTTCTCAATAAATTTAACGATGGGTATGGTTTCAATAGTTCTTGTAATCACATCGTTTCTCACTCGATCTCTTCCTGTATGCAACAGGTTATTCCAAGATCTGATCATGACAAACACTGATTGGTCCCGTGGGGTAGAGGTCCACCCGGGAGGTGTGGTTGTCATCCCAGAGGTTGAGGACGCACATTCAGGCCGATACACCTGCATGGCGGTCACAGCTGATGACCTTGTCGAGAAGTCCATGTGGTTACAGCTGAAAGAGCCATGCAGCCTGCGTGAGTCATATTATATTTGTTACACTGTGTGAAATGATGCTGTTCCTGGATTCTAACTGGACCTGCCTGGACGTGTGTCTAACTTCTATCATGTTGTTAAGTGAGTTGGAACACAATGATGTTAACCACACCCACTGGAATCGGTCGAATGTTTATTGCAGTTCCCAACAACAATATAGTCCAGTCGGTAGTCTCGTTACCTAGTCGTCGTGAAGTTGGCTAACACATTCTATGGCAGGAAACATCATTCATCGAGCACACATGTATTTACCTTTCAGTCCAGGCTTCTCATTTTGACGAACATGCATGGAATCATCCGTAACGTAGATTTAGCAACCGCTCATCTCCCTTCATGGACTGAACACTGCAGCCATCCACTTGCTTTCACAATGCAGACGACATTAATTTGAAAGACAATTCTTCCAGTCAGCACATTCTGACCGCTTCCATTTCTGTCCAAAAACCAATTGCTGTTCTCTCCTTTGCCTTTCCAAACCTCTGTTCCCTTTGCTCGGAGTTTGGGCTGGTAATTATTCACTCCCCTTAGTGACTATCTGTTATTTCGTGTAGCCCGTTTTCTCACTGGCCTGTCAATCTGCCACGTCATACAGGGTTCCCTGAAATTTCCCTCATTACACTTGACTTTTTTTTTAATATGCTTTAGAAAATCCAAGCATGGTTCATAGGAAAAATATGGGTTAGGCGCTTAACCTGCATCTTTGTGCCGTGTCATGTGGGTTTCGCCTAACCTGCTTCTTTGTGCCGTGTCATGTGGGTTTCGCCTAACCTGCATCTTTGTGCCGTGTCATGTGGGTTTGGCCTAACCTGCATCTTTGTGCCGTGTCATGTGGGTTTCGCCTAACCTGCATCTTTGTGCCGTGTCATGTGGGTTTCGCCTAACCTGCATCTTTGTGCCGTGTCATGTGGGTTTCGCCTAACCTGCATCTTTGTGCCGTGTCATGTGGGTTTCGCCTAACCTGCATCTTTGTGCCGTGTCATGTGGGTTTCGCCTAACCTGAATCTTTGTGCCATGTCATGTGGGTTTCGCCTAACCTGCATCTTTGTGCCGTGTCATGTGGGTTTCGCCTAACCTGCATCTTTGTGCCGTGTCATGTGGGTGTTCATGGCAACAAGCATGAGCATTATATTGCAGACACTGAGGTTGCTGTGGCTGGTCCAGCACTGGACAGAAGCAATGTTATCAGTGCAATGGTCAGCACTTACCATGAAGTGAATACGGCAAAGGGCATGACTCCATATATCTGTCTAGGCTGATGGACATGGGAGTGCAGCCTGCAGCTGCAAGAAATGAATATTTCACCAAGGGGACAAAATGTTTGGTTAATCAACACAGAAAGAACAGGCATCATCAATCATATTCATTTGTGGAACTTTTAAGGAGATGGGTAGGACCTATGGATCTGCCTGAAATGCTGTGCTGAAAACCTTTACTAATCACTATTTATTATCCAAGAAAAGTGGCTGGATTCACACACTAAATTCTCTCCTCAAGACTCGCTTCATTGCCTCTCTGGAGAATGCAATTTATTATATTCAGACTAAGGACAGGGCACAACAGATTTCATCAACATATGTTCAAACTCTTCGGTGTAGGAAACATGGAGCTGTGTCTCTGTAGGGGGCTGAAAATGCTGAGCATGTGCTAGCTCCAACACTGTCAGCTGTATGCTGACAACAGAGACCCAATCTGGCCCTGTTCCAACCACAATGAAGACAAAGCTGTATGGTACCTGAGAGGATATGGACTGCATGGTAGCTTTCATAACGGCTACCGGCCTCCTGATATGAGTTTTCTGACAGAAGGATCAAAGAAGAAGAAGATTACTTCTTATTCTTTGTGTTTACCAGCTCTGAACTCAGGCAGAAAGTCCTGGTTGTTAGTCTTCTTCTGGACTTTAGTCTTGTTCCAGGATTTAAGTGTTGCCTGGAAATCCGTTTTTCAGGTCTGGTTTATTTGTGTGCAGAATGTTCTTTCTTTCCCTCACAGGCAGATGCACTCTTACTTTAAAGGAAATGTCGATCCTATCATTGTTGGCCAGGATTTTTTAAAATAAACTAATTAAGGGCATTTTCTTCGAAGTTGAAGCACATCTGTCTTAGAGGCAAGGAACCAACAGTCTGCATACAACTAAGCAAGATCTATAAAATGTATGTACAAGCAAAACTCAGAGAAGAAGAAGATACCCTTGACATTGTTAAATCTTTACTTCAGCATCTGCTGTGAAACCTCAGAGGAGTGGCTATCTGAGCGGTTAAGAACATTGACTCTTATTCAGGATACCTAGGTTCAAAGTCTCAGTAAGTAAAAGTAAAGGGCCTTTCTTCTTACGCCATGGGTGCATCTGGTATATGGTGCTAGAGGTATATTTTTATAGATCAGTTGACCTTTGATGGGTTATGTGGTCAATATCATCTTCTTTCTTCTTTGTTGTAAGCTCTGGTGGAAGGTCCTGGTTGTTCAACTATTTGGACTTTGGCTTTGTGCCAGGGCTTGAGTTTTGTGTGTACATTCGTTTTACTGGATTTTTTGTGTGCAGTTGGTTATTCCTCGTCGCTGGGTCAGATGCACTCTGGCTTCAAAGGAAGCCTCTAATTAGTTGACTCCTACGACATGCTTTTTTGGGTAGGCAGTGGGTCTGTTCTTGTTTTCTCCACAATGGGACCCCCAGAACCCACACGGGGATGGTCATTATCTATCCAGCCATCTTTACTTCTCAGGACTTCACCTGGTACCCATTTTAGGCTGGGTCGACTTCAATTTCAATTGAAGTTCAATTTTTGTTAAAAATCCAAATAATGTGGAATTGAGACCAAGACTTTCATGTTTGGCAGGTCATCTAGCTGCTACTCTACCGCAACTTCCCAGACCTCAGTAAGGTGAAAGACCTCATTTTTTTTCTGTAGGAGGCAGAAATAAAACCCCCAACCTGCACAGGTCATAACGATTGCACTAGCCATTGAGCCGAAAACCCTCTGTCCTACCCAGAGCCATCTGAACAGCATTATAGGGCCCTGGGCAGACCATTGTGCTGAGGTCCCTATGACAGTCGCAAAGAGAAATGAAATGTAAATGGTCAAAAATATTGAACATATATTTATTTTACCTGGCACTTAAAAAAAACTGATGTTAAAACATAAAAAATAGATTAGCACACATAGTATGAAATTACTTTTAACTTTTTGTATGGCAGGTCACTTGACCTACCCAGATTAGCATAAATCCGCAATGCTCATGGAGCCCCTGAGCAACTGACCAGCGGGCCCATGCATCAGGGCAGCACTGATCCTACCCTGACACTAAAATCTTCTTCCTCTTTTTCTCCTTCCTCTTCTTTGCATTCACCAGTTATAAACTCCAACAGAAAGTTCTGGTTGTTTGTCCACTTCTGGACTGTAGCCTTGCTCCAGTACCTGTTCTTATTTTCCCCAACAAAAGGGCTCCTGAACCCACACAACGACCTAAAATATTAATACAATACAGGTAGTAACAATTTTTTTTTTGGTATAAATCCTCGGCTTAGATGTGACAAAGTTTCCAAATAACGTGACAGTGAAGGAAGGCCACACAGCCATGTTCCAGTGCTATGTTCCTGATGCTGACGTCATGCTGTGGAGAAAGGATGGGGACATTGTTACCCAGGGGCCAAGGAAACGGGTATGTGTCGCATGCTGGTAAAATTTTATCTGATTGTTCAGTTTAGGGTGAAACACGAATCAGAGGTTCTGAAGAACCACATGGGGTGGTATTACCCAGGGACCATGGAAACATGTAAGTGTGGTTTTCTGACTAAATGTTATCTGATTGTTCAGTTTAGGGGGAAACAGGATGCAGAAGTGCTGAAGAACCACATGGGGTGGGGCACCAGGATGTGTGCTCATTCTATACTAGTCACGACATATCTGCACCTGTCCATGGTCATCCTAGAAACAGGTCTCCAATGGGGGAAAGGGGGGGGGGGGCCTGGACAACATTGATAGGACTGATGTATCCTGAGAAGATGCTTGACGGTCTTGTTGCATGGCATGGAGGTGTGTCGGCACACGAACTGATACATGCTGCAGGAGATCGCGGATTATGGAAAGGCATGATCGCCCACGCCAGTCGGCAAGGCACCTGATGATGATGATATATCCTATGAAATTGAAATGCACCTGCCTGAGAGGCATGGAAACAAAAGTCTGCACACAATAAGTCAAATCTGTAAAATGAATATGCATGCAGCAGTCAAGTCCTGGTACAAGAATACAGTCCAGAAGTGGATACACAACCAGGGCTGTCTGCCACAGTTGACGGCAGGTTAGCCTCAGAAAAAGAACAAGGATGAAACAAACACTGTAATGATGTCAAAGATGTAGGTGGGAGGAGATTGTTATAGAAAATGTGACAGTTCAGTTTCGGGTGAAACAAGCCATGTACAAGAAAAGTCTAAGATTAAGATGATAGTTAAATTTGATTTCATCTGATTGTTCAGGTTTAGGGTAAAATGAACCTTGCATCGATCTTCGTGGACCTCAGAACAAAAGATAATTGAACTATATAAATATATTATCAGTAACTGAAATTTTGGGAATGTTAATAATGGGCATGAAATAGATAACCAAAGAGACGATAAACAGAAGTACAATCAAGTTGGCTATAAGAACATCACTTGCTTGCAAGCCTTATGTTCATGTTTTAATTCCTATGAGTGTTAAAATATAAAAAAATGTATCTGAACTTCATGGTCAATCAAGCATAAAATAGTAACCAGGAAATTTCTGCCAAGTAAATATGGTCAGCGTTATATTGACCATATCAACCATCGGAGACAGAGTAAAGTTGTGGAACAAGGCTGAAGTCCAGGAGTGGAGGAACAACCAGAAATTTCCACCGGCACTTACGGCTGTGAACATTAATAATAATAATAATAAGTTTGTATTTCATTACAAATTAATCATCATATTTGGGTCATTTAGTCATCATCCCTATGCCATATGCAGATTTTAGTGAACAACTACCTGGTGATCAGTCCAGTGATGGAGACTGATGCTGGACGTTACACTTGTGCTGCCAGATCTAAGAGCGGATGCTTTGCTCGGGTTTCTGCCTACCTGACAGTTGAAACTGTGGGACACGGAAAAGGTTGGTTGTTTAAACACGTTGGGCCAAGCCACTTCATGTATCAGTTACTAGTTATATGTTGTACCAGATGAGTGCTCTGTGGAAAGGCAAAGAACACACAGTTGCCACTGTCAGTTTGCTGAATCAAAATTGTGTTATGGCATGTTAGTGTATCAGCTGCAGCTTAATTTATGTATGTATCTGTATCCTTTATAAAGGGCTGGTTTAACAAGGTTTGCTAGTAGAAGGAATTTCGCGTCACAAAATTGTTTTCATCTAAAAAAGGGTCACCAACATGAAGGTTTGGAAAGCTTTGTCCTAAGGAATATATTGAGGGTGGAATCAAAGTACTTATGAACTGAATAGTTGAATGAATAGTGAGTTTGATCTGTCAACTATCTTTTAATACTTCCTTCTGTTCCTGACAGTTAAAACTAAGCCAGTCAACAACTGCCTTGAAACGGTTCTGCCATCGTTGCTGAAAAACACTAATATTGGAGCTCTGTTGAAAACAGAAACAACACAGTAAATTCCAAATAAAAAATATAAATTTCATATGAGTGCAGAAGAAAGAAGATATATTTATTTAGAAAAGCCTGAGGTTCCCTACTCTTGTTGTTGTTGTTCTTCTTCTTCTTCTTCATGTTTATCAGTTGTAAGGGGGAAAGTCCTGATTGTTCTTCCATTTTTGGACTTGAGTCTCGTTCTAGGACTGAGTTTCTGTGGCTCATTCATTTTTTACTGATCTGGCTTAAATGTTCTCAGTCATGTGCGCCCTGACTTTGAGGAAAACAACGTTGGCCAAGCTTCAGTTTGGGAATCTAGGGTGATTACAGAAAGATATAGAAAGGTCTTAACTCTACCAAACCGATGAACCACTTCTGCGTTAATTTCCTAATCTGCCACTAAACCGCTGTACCTCATTGTCGGTACGTGAAAACAATTCGTCACAAACTAAAAATAAATAGCCAATTGTGGTCAGACCTCAGGGATAGTCATTCCAGGTGTCTGCCCGCGTGTGTTTGGATTTACTTTGTGTGGTTTAACGTGAAAAGATTCTGAAAATTCACAATGAAATGAGCGACTGATAAACCAAGCACATCGACAGGAAAGTGAAGCAGATCTAGGTTTTTCACAGTCCAACAGGTGATTGATACTTTGGTTGATTCAGACTCTGAGGAGTCAGAATTTCATGAAGAATACCTTCCCAGATGAAGTGACACAGTCAGTGAGAACTTGAGTGATAAGGAGAATCTTGAAAATTATAGAATTAAAACTAGTTAGTTAGTTAGTTAGTTAGTTGGGTTATCCTCATTGCACTCCGGACATGTCCATAGGTGCTCAAATCCTCCCCTCAGTATGAACCCCAACGTCCGATGGCTAATAGTACCAGTTCTATGTTGATTAACAAGTCTTCTGGCGTAGCTGGTGTGCGTCTCGTTTTTTGCTGTGCCGATCTTAATTCCCAAGTCTGCCATTCTGGCGAGTGATGTGGATTCACTGCCACCAAAGTCGTCTATCCTTCCCATTTCTCTGAGGGCATTGATAATATCAGCATGATCCAAAGGCTGACCGTCGGTAGTGATAGCGGATCCAGCCAACCTGTCAGCTCTTTCATTTCCATCGACGCCTGCGTGTCCTGGAACAAAAATAAAGGTGACTCCATGGACAGTGGACTTCTGTAATGATTCAAGCCATTGTCTTCGCACTGAACCTGCCTGAACCCTCCGGATCATACTCATTGAATCACTGAGTATACACACGCGGGTGTATTTTTGTGTTTCAAGCCAGGCAAGCGCTTGTGTCACTGCCATCACCTCCATCGTCATGCTGCTGGTTGTCATGGAGAAGGCGCCGTTGGCTTCTTTGACTGTTCTGCCCGCTGAGCGTGCTGTAAATGCCCATGTGCTTCTTCTTTGGCGTATAACGGATCCGTCTGTATAGATTATTGCATCTGCTTCGTCTGAATTTTCACCGATGAGAGCGTTGACCTCTGCATTAACAGCAACAGGATTCTCTTCTCTACATCGCCTGTTGAGTGTGACAATACAGGAAAATGTACAAATAAACGCCTGAGGCACAGGTATCCATTCTGCACCAGTTATGATGTCGGTTAGGCTGCATATTTGCCTAATAACATCTTCTGCCCGACCTAGCCACGATTTCCCCCTCTTCAGTCTGTCGCCCTTTTCACTAAAAAGCGCTTGATGCAGTGGGTGTTTCTTATCAGCACATATTTTGAGATATGCCCGAGCCCTCCACATCCTGATCCTTTGGTTCATTGTTGGAAAGTCAAGTAGATACCTCATTGCTCCACAGGATGTGTCTCTAGTACATCCCAAAATAATGCGCATGGCTTCATTTTGCACCTTTTCGAGTCGTTCAATCTGGGTAGCACTGACAGTGAGGATGGCCAGAGCGTATTCAATGGGGGAAAGGACCAGACCGTAGAATAGAAGTATTAGTAGTCTTTGCTCAATGTTGGAAGCAGCCATAATCCTCATTGCAGATAGACCTTTGCGTGCTTTTGTTATCACATGGTCAACGTGTTCCCTGAATGACAAGCTGCGATCGAACCTCACCACGAGAAACGTCATAACGTTGGTTCTGATCAATACATTATCACCCATTTTCACTTCTGGTAAGTCCGACTTGACAATGTGATTGTTCAAAGAGAACCATGACACTGATGCCTTCGAAGGATTGACATAGGCATTGGAACCATCACACCAGGCGGCAATTCGATCGAGTTCTTTGTGCATAGTGCTGGCGATCTCCTGTCTATCACGCCCGTCGATAAATCAAAATGTCATCAGCAAATGACAAAGTCCTCCCCTTTCCATTCAACTGCTGCTCAGTGATCATCACCGTATAAACGTTGAATAAGACTGGTGATAGCGGTGATCCCTGTGGCAAGCCTGGACATATCGTTTGCGGTTCTGAGGACCAGCTACCACATCTTAGTACAATCTTTCTCTGGAACAGGACCGCAGCAATCCAGCGGATCAGAATAGGATTAACTTCTAGTTTAAGCAGTAATTGCATTAAATAATCGTATGGTACTTTATTGTAGGCATCTTCTAAGTCCAACACTGCCGCACATGTCTCTTCTTTAATCTGAAATCCCTCGTACACATCGTAGGCGAAAACTGCAGCATTGAACCATGTCTCTTTATTTAACCTGTACCCTCCAAGTGTTGGTGGGAACTTATCATGTAGTTCTAAGAAGGTGGTCAATCTTTGTGCGACAATTTTTTCCAAAAGTTTGCCAACAGTATTCTGCATCGAGATGATTCTGTAGCCGCAGATCTTCGAGTGGTCTTTATTAGGCTTTGGTAGTGGGAACAAATAACTATGGAGCCATTCCTCTTGTATCTGGCCACTCTGGATGCTGATATTGAATTCCTTTGCCACGCTTTTCAAATAGAATTAAAACTAGATCGATAGTAAGAGAAGAGGGGGTGTTCCTCAGACAGCAACATCTGGTGCTTACTTTGGGAAACAAGGCTGATCCTGCTGGATGGATTGGCACACAAAGGTGGAATGTTGGTGCTAGATGTTTGCATGTAACTTATATTTTTGTATAACATGTTGATTTTTTTCATGTTAATGCCCAGGAGCTCAGGTATATGGGACAGTTAGGTTCAGGGCCTCAGGTCTGGTAGGGTTAACCAGTATGAGCCCTGGAAATAACATGTCTCACTGCTTTCATTTATTTATTTCTGCTGTAATTGTAAATTATTGCTTTCTAACAGAATGTGGGCGACCTCACAGCAGGCCCCTAGATGGTGGAGCAGTCAGAATTAGCAGCGGTAAAGAAGCTCTTCCAGGTTCGGCCCCTTGGCATGTCATTTTACGAGAGGATAGAAAGGTGCACATGCTTTTTATGTGTGTGTATATCAAAGATCACTTTATTTATACATAGATTAATTTGTGAGCTCCTTCTGCAGGGGGAGAATATTAGCACATTGTATGGACATGAGGCATCTGTGGCTTATGCGTTGCGAGACCGACTCTTAATTCCAACGTAACGCTATCGAAACCCACTGCTGGCTGCGGGGTTTTTATTGCAGGTCGACTCAGCCTAAAATGGCTACCAGGATGTGTATCCTGGGGAAGTAAAGATGGCCAGCGTAATGCTCACCACATTACCCACCTAGTGCCGAATGGCCTGTAAAAATTTGGGTGCTCTTCCCATATGCCTGATGCGCCCAAGGCGGGAAAAGGAATCTTTACTTTTTACTTACGGACTGTAGCACCAGTGAGAATTAAGCACTATAGCACCATTCAGTATCCAGGTATGTGTACAACGTATACTGTATATCAGATAATCATGGACTGCAGGCGCAGCAAATCCAGTAGCATACACACGCATTAATAACATTAATGAGGCAGCCATCAGAAGTGCCAACATGAATGCTGTATATGTTAATTTGCGGGCTGGCTTTCTCATTTCGAAATGTAGCCTTCTTCTTGTGGGTTCCCCTGCCCTGTTTAAGTGAAAAAGGGGGGGGGGGGGGGAGAATAGATTCATTGTCCCCTAACAGGCATGTTGTAAAAGGTGACTAGTTAGTGATTAGGTGAAATTTAACATGTTGGGCCGAAAGGCATACAGTTGGGAGGCAACTGAGATGTGGTTCTTGAGAAGAATGTTGTGAATACCTTGGACTGCCTGAATGACTAACAAGGATTGCCTGGAAAGTAGAATGTTATTTACAACAGTGAGAAGTAGACAAAGTTCTTTGGTCATTTGATAAGACAAAGAGCACTAGAAAATATTGTGATGACTGGAAAGATTACTGGTTGAAGAGGAAGACCAAGAAAAATGATGGTGGATGGCTGAAGACAGTGGCATGGGGGAATATCATCAGTGGAATTTATCCAGATCATCAAAGACCGAGATCTGTGGAGATGCATGAACGCCTACTCTAGCTGCAAAGACACTTAAAGATTATATATATATATATATATATATATATATATATATATATATATATATATATATATATATATATCGTAGCCTAGCTGTAAACCACAATACAACACCCTACCTGCCTTTTAAGAGCAAATGCAGAAAAAACACATTTAGTTTTAAGGAAGACATGAAAGCGGTGCTTTTTTCCTGGCTGTAAAAGCCACGGTACACAGTACCTTTTAAAATATTTTTAAGGCATCTTTATGTTTAGGTTTAGACAACGGATCAACATCATGGCACAAGGGTAGTAACCCATATGTGCTCAATTTCTACTTCTAACTCGTCTGAGTCCGAAGTGCCGTCAGGCTACTCTTTTAGATTTCCAATTGCCAAGGGATTTTTTTTTATGTGCGCAACAATACGATCTCACTACCCAGAGACCAGGGAAAATTACTAGAAGTCCACGTGTAAAAAATCCCAGTCTTCACCTGGGCCTGAACTCGGGACCTCCAGCACTCGAGGCGGACGCCATGCCTCGAAACACGCATTTCCTCCCCGCCCCTCACTTTGTGGTGAGTACCAAAACCCTTTTCAGCACCTTGTGAAATGGCTGATACATCCTTGAAACCAACCCACGACCTTCAGAGTGTAAAAAAAATGGCTTGACTCCTTCCCCACAGAAACCCCAGAATCTTCACTGTGACGTTTCCTGAAGTTCTCTATGTCTGGTTAACACAACACATTTTCATTGTCTTTCAGGACACAACATTTTGTGGAGGGTCTCTGATTTCACCAGACACAGTTTTGACCGCCGCCCACTGTATTGGACAGTTTGAGATCACCTTTGGCTACCCTTTTCATCCACGCCACATACAGATCTTTCTGGGAACGCGACATTGTGCTGGTAACAATGGCATTTTCAGGTGAGCAGCAGATCCTTAGCAAAACCTTGAGCTGTCATCAGGGTGTAGTAGGAAGCCAGTCGGTCGGTCCCCCGTGGTCTTTACCGTTTACCACTTCATAAGAATGACCAGGGGATCTGGCCAACACTTAACATTCAGGAAAAGGTTTGAGGTTTGAACAAGGGACAAACATGGCACACAGGTAGTAACCCATAAGTGCTCTGTATTTCTTCTAACTCCAGTCTATGTCCGAAGAAGCTCAGCAGAGTGCATGGGCTCCAAACCGGAACCTCCAGCACTCGAGGTGAACACCATGCCTCAAGACCACGCAGCCCCCTCAGGAAAAGTGAACATACCGTTAGACTACATCATAATGAAATTTTGTGCTAGGGTGCTGAAGCTGCGTTTACTTCCCATGACATTACCTGGTACCCATTTTAGGCTGAGTCGACCTGCAGACCATGGTAAATGTAGAAACAAATCTGCCTCTATATAGATTTAATCTTTAGATGTTTCAGTGTGGGATGTGAGCATCTAACTACTATGCCACTGTTGCTTCTCTTTTTCAGTCTCAGTATGTTAAATTACATTTGTCTGTTTTCTGTGACTTTATATTCGCTTGCTCTTGATACATAAGTTCTCCCCATACTGGAGACCCAGTGCTTGCTCAACAAGCATGTCATTAAAGATGACTATTTAGAGGTGTTTACTTCATAATTTGAGTGAGCACATCTGCCAGAGAGGTGGGAAACCAGCAGTCTGCATATAAATAAGCATCTGTAAAAGGTGAAAAAAGCATCTGGCTAAGCTAATTTTCAGCTCCTAGCTCTGTTCAGATTTGAACCCAGGACCTTCGGATCCACAGGTGAGCATCTAGTCCCTACACCATGGAGGCTCCCAAATACAGTTAGTGAAGATACTTTTAACCCAAGAACTTGCCTGCTGTTGAATCTGGTTTTCTCCATTCCACAGACAAATCAAGTCATATACACTTCATGAGCAGTTCAATGACACCCTCTACAACAATGACATTGCCGTCATCAAGCTGGACAGCCCTGTAGATTATTCAGAGGAAGTGTTGCCCATCTGTCTTGAGACTCCTGACTTTCTTGAGGAACTGCTAAAACCTGGTGAGCAAACATTGAGGACGATAGGCAGAGTGACATACCGATGAATAAATAGATCAATGGTTCTCAACCTTCCTAATGCCTCGACCCTTGAATACAGTTCCCCATGTTGTGGCGACCCCTAACAATACAATTATTTGTGTTGCTGCTTCATAACTCCAGTCAGTGTGTGTTTTCTGATGGTATTAGGCAACCCTTGTGAAAGGGTCATTTGACCCACAAAAGGGTCCCGACCCACACGGAGGGGGAATTGTAGTTGGGCTGCATCACAGTTCTATGGATGAATTGACAGCTGTGGGGATGCACGGATAGACATGGATTGATAATGTTTTGATATACTGAATGGCTATATGATTAGGTGGGGTGTCCAAGGCTTAGGCGTTGCGAGTCAGACTTGTAATTCCAACGTAGGATTGAAACCCACTGCTGGCTGCTTGGATTTTTATCGTGGTATGGGGCGCCGCAGGTCGATCCAGCCTAAAATGAGTACCAGGATGTATGTCCTGGGGATGTAAAGACGTTCAGCTTAATGCTGACCACATTACCCACCTAGTGCCGATTTTTCTGTCTGAAATATGGGTGCTCTTCTTATATGCCCGATGCGCCTAAAAGGCATGAAAAGGCATCTTCAATTTACTTACTTTACTATATGATTTTGTGCATAAAGCGGCAAAGGAAATGGCAGACATATTATTGGATGAATGGACAGAGGGATGGATGAATTAATGGATGGATACAGGATGGGTAGCTAGGTAAAAAGTATAATAGACATATAGGTAAATTTCTGGATAATGATAGACGGATATGAACGATGATTGATCAGAGGGAAAGATAGCTCTTAAGTTTTCTTATTTTGGAGACTGAAGAGTTTGCTCATTATATCTTCATTTTTGTCTTGCTTAATATTGGTTTTCTTCAGTTCTTCCTTCACTTCTTTTTATCTCGGTCTTGACATGAAGGAAGTGGCCATGTTTTAGCAGTTTTAGATGCTCACCTGTGGATTGGAAGGTCATGGGTTCAGGTCCTGGTGGAGCCGGATTTAAAAAAAATTAACTTGGCTCCCATATCGACCCAGCCTTAAATGGGTACCAGGTAGACCTGGGAAGTAAAGGTGGATTCAGGTCCTGGCGGAGCCCGAATTCCAAAAAGAAAAATTAACTTGGCTCCCTTGTCGACCCAGCCCTAAATGGGTACCAGGTAGACCTGGGAAGTAAAGGTGAGTGGCATGATGCTGATCACATCACCACTGAGTGCCGATTGGTCTATAAAATATATGCCTATATGCCCTATATGCCCAATACGCCCGATGTTTAGGAAAAAAGTTCTTTACTTTTGCTTGTAACCTAACTTGAAGTTCTTGCTTTCCTTAGCAGAGCTGTTAGCTAGCAGGTTTGCTGCTTGTTGACCAGTAAAGGTTTGCAGAAAATGAGTAGTCAGAAAAATCGTGGGTTCTTTTTTAATATCATACCCCAGATGACATCACAGGACAGTCCAACATTTAAGAGGTTAGTAAGACTGGGTTTCCCGGCTTTCTGATGCTTTTAACGACCCCAAAACATATAGAACTGGCCCTAACTCCAACACACCTACGTCCCACGAAAGAGTGCAGCCTAAGTCCCATGACTGCATGCAGCCTAGGTCCCACGACTGCATGCAGTCTATCTACCATCCCTGAAATATTAGACTGTCCGGTGACCTGTGGATTTTCCCTGTTTGGGGTAGGATATTAATAAAGCACCAAATCGTAAGTTACATATCGATTTCATATTTTATATTTGACGGCTAACTGACAGAAGTCAAACTTATAATGGATATTTTACTCATGATTTTTCTCACTACTGATTGTTCTCTTTGTGGAACTGAAACACTATTATAAATATCTTCAGGTCATCTGGGTCTTATAACTGGGTGCGGTGGCAAGCATGATAACGGACATGGTCCAACATACCTGCATGAAGTTCAGGTGAGGTTTTCAGATTGACAGGTAATTTTGTTAAAATTTGATGTAGCAGTTTAGAGATCGACGGATTGTTAATTGTTTCTTTTTCTTGGTGTTCACCGGCTGTGAACTCTGGCAGAAAGTTCTGGGTGTTTATCCACCTCTTGACTTTAGTCTTTCTCCAGAACCTGCACATACATTTCACACATCTGGCTTATCTGTATGCAGACCTGTGGTTCCTTGTCTCTCAGGCAGATGCACTCCGACTTGAAAAGATGTCCCCAATTAGTCGACTCCTAGGACATGCTTGTTGGGAAGGCAGTGGGTCTGTTTTTGTTTTCTCCATAATGGGGCCCCAGAATCCACATGGGAAGTTAATTGTTTCAATATCAGGCAACTTACCTGTGTGGGTTCCCGGAACTCTTTCAGTACCAAATAACGCACTGCACGTTTCTGTGATCTCCAGTATTGCACCAGTGACTGAAACAAGTTAGTTGTGTATCCTTTTGCAGGACATTGCAGAACCATCCCCAGCATTTTTTTGGCTGTTGTGGTTTTTCTAGGCAAATTTACATCCAGCAGTTTGCCATTGCTTTCTGGACTTTCGGCTCTCGGTACCACTGGCGAAACCAACGCAAGACAAACCGTCAGCAGCTGTGATCGAACTGCAATTTTTGTTACAGACAGTAAACAAAGAAGAAAATGAGGACATATATCTTTCTTGCCTTTCCTCTGAGCTCTTCAGGAAAACTTAAATTTTAGATGTGAACTCTTTCAATGCCAGATAACTCACTGCATGTTTCTTTGATCTCCAGTATTGCACCAGTAACTGAAAGCAGTAGTTAAAGTTACCTTTAGGCTGGTTTTTTTTTTCACACATGGACAAAACCGAAGCTGGTGATGGAGACTGCACAGGATGCAATGTAATCAAATGATTGAATGACATCTTTCACTTGGAGCGCGGTCTGGTAGACAATGTAGCCGGTGAGAAACTCAATAGATTGGATGCCCGGCTGATATTCATCTGACTTTATAATTTCAAGGCGCATTTGTCCTCACAGGATTAGACTTGTTGGCACCAGTTATGTTTACATTACTTCAGTGTTACAACTGTCTCATCACGATCAGAACAATTGTATTACATTGTAGAAATAAGTCAATTGTTCGAATAAGGTGTTGCTACATCAATTCTTATAGCGACATTTTTTTCTGGGGTTTTGGCAGCATTCATTTAAGCTGAATTTTTTTTTTTTTTACTGCAACATGACACAGCTAAAAACTTCCTGAAGAAAAAGTATAGCTGTATAGTGACATATAATATATCAAATTAAAGATTATTGAATACAGAACACATCTAAACTATTTAGGTATTAGTATTACAGCAACAACATTTTTAATGACACAGTATTCAAGGATGTTAGACACACATGGATTCAGAAGCCACTAAAGTGGCGATACGTCCACAAAGAGTTAATAGAACTTGTGGAAAGTAAACTCTGTTTACCAGATAAAGCAGCTTGTTTAAAAATAATATCAAAACACAAATGGCGTGAAAAGAAGTTAGAAGAAGAGTTTACAAAAGAGGAAAAAGTAATTTTAAAGTGTGATGTTATCTGATTTAAGTTTCTCAAAAAAAAAAAAGAGTATAGTAACTCCCTTCATGTATCTCTCAAACAACAGGATGTACCCAGTGCTTAGATGTGCCACCACAGAGAAAGCGTGGGTCGGTAGAGGGACTGAAACCTTGTTTAATTGTGCAATAATAATACAATAATAATCATTATTATTATTGTGACCAAAATTAGTCATAAACTATTTGAGAAGCCGCCTTCCCTAGAAAATTATTGTGAAGGTGGGGGGGGGGGGGGGGCAGGGTAGTCCTCAGGGGTTTAGTTGACCTTTAAAAAATTTGGGGGAGGGGGAGGGGCACCTATACTTCTGCTTCCCTTTTTGGGGAAAAGTTTTGGTTTTTGTACTTCCTTTTAGCTTTTGAGCTGAAATGCTATGGAAAGATTCTCAGAATATCTTGGACAAAGAATAGGAGAAATACTGACATCTTGAAAAATCTGAACATCAAGGAAGATTAGCTATTGAACAGCATCCTTCCTCGGAAGTTGAAATATTTTGGTCATATCAAGATATGAAAAAAAATATAGCAGAAGGCATGGTACCAGGAAGGAGGGGCAGGGGCCGACTAACACGAATATGGGCACAGGATATAAGTGACCCTGTCACCGGCTCCGGTTGTGCTGATGTGTGTGAAAATGACCTTACAGGATAGAACAAACCAGTTATTAAAAACAGTGCAAAACAGTCTGCTACCAAACTGTCTAGAACTGAATAGAACAAAGAATGTTGAAATTATAAAGCTGCGTTTATAACCTCTTCTTCTCTTCCACCTTGTACCTCAGCGAAGTGTCGGGGGAGATGTAACATTCTTTGTCAAGAGCACTATAAGAACTGATGTTAATTTCTGTAAGGCTGTTCTTAATGCCACCACTCCATCTTTTATGAGGTCTTCCACTCTCTATACCCGTTTTAACATTTTAGTGTGGCTCACTGTGGCAGATAGTACCAGGGCATTCTTGTTAGATGTCCAAACCTCTTCATTTATTCCTCTTTGATGACCTGCAAGACTGGCTTTACTCCTAGCATTCATCTCATTTTGTGTCTTTTCTTGAAACTCCTGCAGCACTTCTAAGGCATTTAATCTCTGTTGTCACAATTTTACATTCATTGAAGGATGTAAGTGTCCACATTTGGCACTGATAGCATAGTGTTGGCCAAATGTTCATATAATTAATTTTAAAAAAGTAAAAGTGTTGTATTTATGTAATATCTGTTGTGTTTTCAATTACATCTCAAGATTCCGTACGTGTCAAAAGAAATCTGCAGAGGACGAGCTGCCGTTGTGCGAACAAACTTCACTGATGGTATGTTCTGTGCAGGATATGCCAAAAGTATGCGAGGAGACGCATGTTCTGGAGATAGGTGAGTTAGTTTTGATCAAATAATAGCTTGATTCACCTGTGCGTCACTGGGGCCCTTACAGGGAACAAATAATAGTAACACTGCACCCTACCAGGCATGTCGTAAGAGGCCACTAACTGTAGGGTGGGGCTTGAGGTTGGCTACCTCATCCTGTAAAAACAATAGCCACAAAAAACAACCACCCATGGTGAAGTCAAAAAGAGAAACAAGAAAAACCCAGCCAACCAAGATGCGATGAAGCTCTTCTAGTAGAAGAAGTATGACACGGTGTGGAGAAAGCAGAAAGGAGTCCAGATCGTCAACATACTTCCTCTCAGCTAGGTAAACCTCCAGAACTGGCACCTAACATGTTAGAACTTTGTATGATATAGGAAGAACAATGGAAGTAGTAAACCTCCAGAACTGGCACCTAACATGTTAGAACTTTGTATGATATAGGAAGAACAATGGGAGTAGTAAACCTCCAGAACTGGCACCTAACATGTTAGAACTTTGTATGATATAGGAAGAACAATGGAAGTAGTAAACCTCCAGAACTGGCACCTAACATGTTAGAACTTTGTATGATATAGGAAGAACAATGGAAGTAGTAAACCTCCAGAACTGGCACCTAACATGTTAGAACTTTGTATGATATAGGAAGAACAATGGAAGTAGTCAACCTCCAGAACTGGCACCTAACATGTTAGAACTTCGTATGATATAGGAAGAACAATGGAAGTAGTAAACCTCCAGAACTGGCACCTAACATGTTAGAACTTTGTATGATATAGGAAGAACAATGGAAGTAGTCAACCTCCAGAACTGGCACCTAACATGTTAGAACTTTGTATGATATAGGAAGAACAATGGAAGTATTAAACCTCCAGAACTGGCACCTAACATGTTAGAACTTTGTATGATATAGGAAGAACAATGGAAGTAGTAAACCTCCAGAACTGGCACCTAACATGTTAGAACTTTGTATGATATAGGAAGAACAATGGGAGTAGTAAACCTCCAGAACTGGCACCTAACATGTTAGAACTTTGTATGATATAGGAAGAACAATGGAAGTAGTAAACCTCCAGAACTGGCACCTAACATGTTAGAAACTTTGTATGATATAGGAAGAACAATGGAAGTAGTAAACCTCCAGAACTGGCACCTAACATGTTAGAACTTTGTATGATATAGGAAGAACAATGGGAGTAGTAAACCTCCAGAACTGGCACCTAACATGTTAGAACTTTGTATGATATAGGAAGAACAATGGAAGTAGTAAACCTCCAGAACTGGCACCTAACATGTTAGAACTTTGTATGATATAGGAAGAACAATGGAAGTAGTAAACCTCCAGAACTGGCACCTAACATGTTAGAACTTTGTATGATATAGGAAGAACAATGGAAGTAGTAAACCTCCAGAACTGGCACCTAACATGTTAGAATTTGTATGATATAGGAAGAACAATGGAAGTAGTAAACCTCCAGAACTGGCACCTAACATGTTAGAACTTTGTATGATATAGGAAGAACAATGGAAGTAGTCAACCTCCAGAACTGGCACCTAACATGTTAGAACTTTGTATGATATACGAAGAACAATGGAAGTAGTCAACCTCCAGAACTGGCACCTAACATGTTAGAACTTTGTATGATATAGGAAGAACAATGGAAGTAGTAAACCAAAAAAAAAACACATGGAGCAGGGAGCTAGAGAGTAAAGTTTAAAAAAAAAGGATGGGAAGGAGATGGTGAGGGCTACATGCAATTGCAATGTTTAGAACTACTTGGCGTAAATTAGTTGAGGGCCTATGCTCCACTGGGTGGTTAGAAAGACAGAAGAAGAAATAATAGCTTGATTGGTTTGTTGCAAAAACAGTTATATACTGCCTGTACATGTTCTACGGATCACAGCAACATGGCTTCATGTCCATTGAGATTGCCTTCTTCTTTTTCCATTTTGAGATGATCATAATATTTTCTCTTTCTTCATAATTGTGTTGTTCTTCTTTGTAGCCTAGCTTTGATATTTGCGCTTTTTGGCCAATACATCCGGCTTCTTCAGGCCTTTGTTGTTTGGGTTAGCATTCCTGTTTGTTTCATGGGTCACTGCACAGTCTCATTGATGAGCCATTCATTATCTTTTCTTCCTTGCCCACAGTCACTGGAAGGTCGTGGATTCATTTTTGCCAGCCGCCCTGTTTGGTTCACGAGTGCACTTTTCAAGCAGATCCCTGGAAATAGTCACTGGAATTCATGATTTGAGGGACACTTTCAACAGGCAGCAAGCTAGCCTTCTGTAGAGAGAGAGACCAGGCCATGGGAGATAATTCCAAATGCAATAAAGTCGGCCCTCTTGACTTTAAACTTTAAATTCCTTAAAACACAGCACAATATTTATAATACATAAACTAAATAAAACAAAGGACCCATTTCCATAAATTCAGGCATATTTGGCATGTAAGGCTAAACCTATATTTTTTTTAGACAATTGGCACTCTATGGGTTATGTGGTCAGCATCGTGCCAGCACCCCTCAATTCCCAGGAAATTGTGTTGTTCGCATTTTAGACTGGGTTGACCTGGAGGGCACGGTAATTTTTGAGAAAAATCCACTTTTATGTGAATTTGAACCCAAGATCTTCAGACCAGCAGGTGAGCTTCTACCCTTTATGCAGCCACAGCTCCTATAATTTCATGATTCTTTTTCCTATAGTTTGTGCCCTGTGGTATTGGTGGTCATGTCTCTTCACAACCTTCTGTCTCCTGTTTTCTTCTTATTGTCCGTGTCCTGTGGTATTGGTGGTCATGTCTCTTCACAACCTTCTGTCTCCTGTTTTCTTCTTATTGTCCGTGTCCTGTGGTATTGGTGGTCATGTCTCTTCACAACCTTCTGTCTCCTGTCTTCTTCTTATTGTCTGTGCCTTGTGGTATTGGTGGTCATGTCTCTTCACAACCTTCTGTCTCCTGTCTTCTTCTTATTGTCTGTGCCTTGTGGTATTGGTGGTCATGTCTCTTCACAACCTTCTGTCTCCTGTTTTCTTCTTATTGTCTGTGCCTTGTGGTATTGGTGGTCATGTCTCTTCACAACCTTCTGTCTCCTGTTTTCTTCTTATTGTCTGTGCCTTGTGGTATTGGTGGTCATGTCTCTTCACAACCTTCTGTCTCCTGTTTTCTTCTTATTGTCCGTGTCCTGTGGTATTGGTGGTCATGTCTCTTCACAACCTTCTGTCTCCTGTTTTCTTCTTATTGTCCGTGTCCTGTGGTATTGGTGGTCATGTCTCTTCACAACCTTCTGTCTCCTGTCTTCTTCTTATTGTCTGTGCCTTGTGGTATTGGTGGTCATGTCTCTTCACAACCTTCTGTCTCCTGTCTTCTTCTTATTGTCTGTGCCTTGTGGTATTGGTGGTCATGTCTCTTCACAACCTTCTGTCTCCTGTCTTCTTCTTATTGTCTGTGCACTGTTACATTGGTTGTCATGTCTATTTGAAATATTATGTCTTTTATCTTCTTCTTATTGTCCGGGCTGTGTGGTATTGGTTGTCATGTCTATTTGAAATATTATGTCTTTTATCTTCTTCTTATGGTCCGTGTCCTGTAGTATTGGTGTTCATGTCTCTTCACAACCTTCTGTCTCCTGTTTTCTTCTTATTGTCTGTGCCTTGTGGTATTGGTGGTCATGTCTCTTCACAACCTTCTGTCTCCTGTCTTCTTCTTATTGTCCATGCCCTGTGGTATTGGTGGTCATGTCTCTTCACAACCTTCTGTCTCCTGTTTTCTTCTTATTGTCCGTGTCCTGTGGTATTGGTGGTCATGTCTCTTCACAACCTTCTGTCTCCTGTCTTCTTCTTATTGTCCATGCCCTGTGGTATTGGTGTTCATGTCTCTTCACAACCTTCTGTCTCCTGTTTTCTTCTTATTGTCTGTGCCTTGTGGTATTGGTGGTCATGTCTCTTCACAACCTTCTGTCTCCTGTCTTCTTCTTATTGTCCATGCCCTGTGGTATTGGTATTCATGACTCTTCACAGCCTTCTGTCTCATGTCTTCTTATTGTTCATGTCCTGTGGTATTATTAGTTATGGCTCTTTACAACTATCTTATTCTTTTAGTTCATGCCATGTGGTGTTGGTAGTTATATCAATCCACAACCTTGTATCTTGTGTACTTTCAGTCAGTTCTGACACAGATGATCTTCCATAGTCCATGCAGTGTGGCATTGATAGTCATGTGTGAAATCCCCAACATTTCGTTTTTTTTTGTACTTTCTGTCAGTTCTGACACAGATGATCTTCCATAGTGCATGCAGTGTGGCATTGATAGTCATGTGTGAAATCCCCAACATTTCGTTTTTTTTTGTACTTTCTGTCAGTTCTGACACAGATGATCTTCCATAGTGCATGCAGTGTGGCATTGATAGTCATGTGTGAAATCCCCAACATTTCGTTTTTTTTTGTACTTTCTGTCAGTTCTGACACAGATCTTCCATGGTGTTATGTCAAACTGTCCAGCATCTTCTCTCTTTGTCGCTCTCTGCTTCTTTTCCCCCTCCAACTTTTCCACCATTACGGTGTACTCCAGTTTTCTTCTTCTCCTGACATGAATAAAGAAAGTAAATTCAAGATATGGCTTAAGTAAAAAGTGAAGTACCCTTTACCTTGCTTTCAGGCATTCTGGGCATATAGGGCTACACCTGTTCTGAAGACCAATCGGCACCTGGTGGGATATATGGTCAACATCACGCCGGCCGCCTTCAATTCCCAGAATTATACATGTTACCCATTTAAGGCTGGGTTGACCTGGAAGCCAATGTCATTTTAGAAAGGAAAAAAAAAGCCTAGCTTTGTTCTGATTTAAACCCATGACCTTGGGGTCTACAGGCAAGTATCTAGCTGCTACATCACAGTGGCTTCCTTATTTCAAAATGTTTCCGTCTTCCTCTCCACAGTGGTGGCCCATATGTGATAGAGTTCAGGGGGCGCTACATCCTCGCTGGAATCGTCTCCTGGGGTGTCGGCTGTGACAGAGAGAATCACTACGGCTACTACACCAGTATAGCTCACTACTACGACTGGATCATGGGCAAAATCAAATAATGCTGAACCGGGAGTTGGAATATTACAGGAGGATCTGTCAGAAAGAGGTATCAGGGTGCTTTCTTAATATCCTACCCCAAATAGGGAAAATCCACAGGTCATGGGACAGTCTAATATTTCAGTGGGTGGTAGATAGGCTGCATGCAGTCGTGGGATCTTGGCTGTACTCTCTTGTGGGACATAGGTAGGTTGGGGTTAGGCCAGTTATAGATGTTTTGATGTCATTAAAAGCATCAGAAAGTTGGCAAACCCAGTCCTCCCACCCTCTAAAATGTTGGACTGTCCTGTGATGTCATCTGGGGTAAAATACTCATAAAGAACCGGGATCAGTTAGACCAGTGTTCTTCAACCTGTGGGGGGGAGGGGCGCTGTGCTAGGGAAGCTCAAGGAGGGTGGTTTCAAAAGAGTGTCAAGTAATTTTAAAATTGAGTGCATATGTACTTGAAATAATCTGTTATACTGACATTTACTAAGAATATTTCTGTTTATATTCACCAATAAAATAATGTTTTTAAAAACTATGTATAAAACATAGCTCTGCTAGGGAAGCTCATAGAAGTTTAAAGGAAGTGTTCAAGCCATTTTTAGATTGAGTGCATTTGTACTTGAAACAATCTGTTATACTAACATTTACTTAAAATATTTAATAGTTTTTTTTTTTTTGTGGTTTTTATTTTTCAGTTTAAAAATAAAATATTATTTAAAAAATTATGAATAAAACAATTAAGCTAAGGATTTTTTTGTGTGGTTATCATGAGCACAGTTTGTACAGCAGATATTAGTAGGACAGTACAGTGTCGACCAACACTTTAATCTATAGTATATCTTGTAAAACGGAATGCAAGCATCGGAAGTGCCCTCGTCATCATCATCATTCTCATAAAATGCTTTTCTGACTAGCTTGTGTGATCCTGTTGTAAAAAACTTATTCAAGGTTTACGGAAAGTAGATGTATTGGGTTGAAAGATGTGGATATCACAGCCTAGTGTGGGTTCCCGGGATCCCTTTTTGGTCCCAAGATCCACTTCCCAAAACAAGCATCTCGTAAATTCGACTGATTAAGGACTTGCTGAATTTGAATGTGTTGGGCTAAAAGATGCAAATATGGCAGCCAGCTGTAAACTACTGCAGAACAAAATGCGGTTTAAAGGGCAAACGCAAAAAAAGCCACGAAACAACAAAAGATTTTAAGCATACATCTCCTAATTCTTTAATGATCATTCATCTTATGATTTGTAAATACATATTTACATCACATTTCCACACATGTTGTTATGTTACATATAATATTAGCGATATTAATTTTGCAAGCATAATTAACTGTTACTATTGTACATATCAACAAGGATGCCATGTGCTACCTCTAAAATTTTTACTGGATTTTCCCCCCTTAGTTCTCCCTTCCAGTGGTTTTCAGATGAGATGACCACAGGCCGCACAGTGAAGGTTGTGTGTGGTGAAGCACTTCTCCTTCACTGGTCAGTACAGATTTTCCCAGGTGGGTTCTGGAACCCTGTTTTGGGAGGGGAGGAGGAGGAAAGAATAGACCCACTGCCTCCCTAACAAGCGTGTCTCAAAAGGTGACTAATTAGGGGTAGTTCCTTTGAAGTTGGAGCGCATCTGCCTGAGAGGTAAGGAACCAGCATTCTGCATATAAATAAGCCAGATCTGTAGAACAAGTGTGCATGGAAAATGCAAGTTCAGGAACAAGACCAAAGTCCAGAAGTTGAGGAACAACCAGAACTTTCCACCGGAGTCTACAGCTGATGAAAACTAAGGAGAATAAGAAGGTCAATGAATTTCGGCCGAACTGGCCGAACGTAGAATCTCTCTACTGCATGTAGAGAGTATGTCTGTAGCATGTGTTCAGTATTTTGTGGAGCCCGTCGATGCGGGTAAACTTCTGAGTCTCCAGTAAACCGGCTATAGACTGGATTGTGAAGACAGCAACAGCTACCACCAGAAATGGAATTCAGTGGACCGCAACAGAAAAGTCAGTGATCTGAACTTCGTTGGGGACATTTCCCTCCTATTCTACTCATAAAATCAGATACAAAAGAAATTAAAGATATTTTATAAGAGATCTAACAAATGAACGAACAGACTTTTTTTTCAAAGCGTCACAAATTGGGCATAGAGGCCTGTCTTACATTTGGCCCCTGTCGGACACTCATCTTTCATACTGCAATTATATTTTATAAATAAAGCATGTTATATTCATGTAACAATATACATAATATGAATATCATGTAAAAAAAAAAACACCACAAAGGTATCGATGGTAAATACCCACGCGCGCATACAAACATTACCATACTTACAAACATACAATAATACACGCACACATATACATAACTACATCACACTCACACCCATACATCAAAACATACATACATACATACACACACACACATGTAAACATTCATACATATTTCACACATAGACATTCATATGTCAAAACACACTCATACCTCAAAACATACAGCAACATTTTTTCTAACCCACAGGAAAAAGACAAAAATAATTAGAATTAGACAAACAATTATCCAGTTTCTTTTGTTAAATCATCAACCCTAGATGTGAACTCACAAACTTATATGGGCGGTTATATAAATAAAGATGATGGAACAGACAGAAATATTTAAAAAATATAAAAAATAAGAGGTTTCATAGCACTGGGAAACTGGAGGTCTAAAGTTAGTTGCATATCCTTTACAGGACATTGCAGAACCAACCCTAGCATTTTTTAGATGTTGTGCTTTTTCTAGGCACATTTAGGCATATGCTGTTATTCAGTTCAAAAGACTTGTAAGAGAAATGTATAATGGGTCACTCCTGCATTTAAGATTTATAAACTGTTCTTAAACTCACTGGCCAAAGGTCTTTGGTTTGAATCCACACTGGGCAGATTATCAAGAAATGACATTGGCTTGCTGGTTGACCCAGCCAAAAATAGGTACCAAGTATAAAGTCCTGGGAAGTAAAGGTGACTGCAAGATGTTGACCACACCATCCAAAAAGGGCTGCTTGGTCTATAAAATATGTCTAGCCACATATGCTTAAAAGATCCTTTGCTTGACTCTTTACATAAACTTATTCTTGAAAAGATAATGTGGTTCCTCATTCCCCACTCCTAATTTCTGCACCCACTCAATAGTACAAATCTGCTTCAACCACTAAATGGACACCACCTGAAGTATTTACTTCTGTTTATTTCTGTTTCTAGTTCTCTAATTGTGCAGACATGATTTCTTACCTCATTAGTACAAATCTTCCTCGACCACTAAATGGACATCCCTTGATGTGTCTGCTTCTGTTTATAGTTTTATAGTTCTCTTATTGTGCAGACATGATTTCTTACCTCACTAGTACAAATCTTCCTCGACCACTAAATGGACACCCCCCCCCCCCCCCACCTGAAGTGTTTGCTTCTGTTTATATATATGTTTCTAGTACTCTAAATAATTGTGCAAACATGATTTGTTAGCATCATTTATATTATTTGACCACAGTCAACATCACTGCACAATGGACAATCCCATTAATGCTCAGTCCTGCGATGCAACTGCTATTCCTGGGTACCTCTGTCAACTGCTCCCATAAGAAGTTGGTTATAATGTCTCCTATCTTGACCCCAAAGACGTACTCCGCCAGGCTTTAAAAACTCTGTGTCGTGTCATCATGAGAGCTAATATACTGAAATGGTTGGGCATATGAACGAATGTCAGATGAAAGAAGTAAAAACTGTTTTCACAAGGGAGATGAATGGTCGTAGACCACGAGGCAGATCAAGAAGACAATGGAGAGATAATGTCCAGAGTGTTACCAACTGGAGGGAGAAGGCCAACTGGAGAGATGAGTGATATCTGCAGCAGTGAACCTCAAGGGTTGGGAATGCTGGAGAAGATGATATATAAAAACAGGAACGTAACAAGACGACTTCGATAGATAGTTGGCAAGGTGACAGTTTAGCCTCTGTAAAAAAAGGTGGTGGGGGGGGGGGGGAGGGCAGAGGCAAATTCCTGCCTGACTTTTGCAGGGGGGGGGGGAGGGGGGTTGAAAACATAATTTAGGAGTAGTGAGTGGTCTCACAACAAACCGCAAAAGAAAATTAGTAATCATGAAATTATACTTTTTGTGTGTGGGGGGGGGGGGGGGGCGAGAAAAACCTAAAGTTGGAGGAGTGGTCACTTACAACAAAGCATAAAAGAAAATTAATAACCATGAAAATTAGATTTATGAAAAAGGTTGCAGAAGTGACCTGTGACGAAATGACCTCAGTGGTCTCAGAAGTTATATTGTGTTTAATAATTTCTTATGTTCAGAGAAGTACAAAGAATTAAAAGCAATAGACCCTGAGCCTAAAATAGTTCTAAAACCACTACAAGGGATTTGAGAATTGTTTAAACTGCGTTTCCAATCTCTAGCCAGACAAAGCAACCTTGCTTTATGTAATATTACTTAAAACGTTACCTTGGCTAGGAATTCCTTTCTCATGTGAATGTCGTAAATGTTATCTCCTGACCAGACAGTAGAGGCGAGGAAGGGGGAAATAACGTAGTATCACACCTGAGATTAGCTCCCCTGAACCCGACCTTAGTGTCATAAAAGTTACATAACACAGACTGAGGGGGGCCTTTGATCAGACTAGATCAGGGGAATTAAGTGGTCTGGTAGACATTTCTAGACAGGATGGCGTCCAGTGTCTGAAGCTTTACACATGACAGTGAAATTCTCAGAACAGGTGTTTGGCAATTAGGAATGTCTAATCTTGGTCAAGGTCGTAATGTAGGCCGTTCACTGTGAGTGACAGGCCCATTGATAGCTAGGTTGATCTGCTAGGTACCTCAGAAGCGGGGGCTGAGGTCATCTCCTGGAGGGTTGGGTAGAACCTAGTAAAGGGAGGAGTTTAACCTTGCAGACAGATAGATAGTATACTTTGAGCCTCTGGACTTTCATTCACATCGCAGCCGGCTGGCAACAAACACAGATCGACGTAA